ACCACTGGTCCATGCTTACTCCTGATAGGTCTCTCCAGTGTGGTGGTAAGAGAGTTGGACCATGACCTGGGAAACCAGGGTCTGAATCCTCACTCAGCCATGGAGCTCCCTGGATAACCTTGGACTAGTTGCTGTCCCTCAGCCTAACCTACCTTGCAGGCTTGTTCTGAAGAGGAGGAAGAGAACTATGTACTATTGAGAACTATTGCGCTCACTGGAGGAGAAGCTGGTTTGTAAATGAAATAAATAAAATAAGAGAGGAGGCTTTCTGGATTGCCATAGCATCTCTTTATGAGCTTCTCTCCCTAGGAAGGCCTGCTTGGCACCTACTCTGATGTCTTGTTGGTGTTAGACATCATTCTCTTTATGTTACCCAGGCTTTTCATCATTTGAATCTGGTTTATAACTGCTGGAATCTCTCTCTCACACACACATTGCTCTGCCCTTTTAATCAGTTTTTAAATGCCTGAATTGGTCAAAATATTTGCTTTAAACCAATTTGTTTAAATGGTGTGTTAGTTATTTGATCATACAGTAAGACGCATTGACGACAAAAATATGAAAGGGTGATTAGAAACATCACCATATAAAAAACCAATTTCAAATCCAATATTAATGCAGAATGAGATAAAGATAGCTACTTAAAAGGCTTGTTCTCGTTAGGGTGAAAACAATGTATTTAAAATAATTTAAACAGATATCAAAACATTTTTTTAAAAAAATAAACCAAACAAAAAAAGAGAAGTTTGAAAATTATATCCCCCCCCCACAAGCAAACTACCAAAGATCTTTGGGAAATACTAATGTCTTAAGAAGTAACCTAAAATTCAGCAATGTAGCCTGAAGAAGGGTCAGCATTCTAGCATTTTAATGTCACAAATGAAAAAAGGAGTGTTTTGGACACTCGCCACACAGACCTCCTGTTCTTAAGGAACCCTCAACAAAGCCTTCTGAGATGGGGAGTTAAAAGCAGCACCTTAAATAGAGCTCTGGAAGAGTTCATACCCAGTGCTGACCTGCCAAAATAGCTTCCGTTCTCTTACCAGCTATCGTGCGGAGAAATATTCAGCAGGTAGAATTCTTCCTGCGGAAGCTACTCTTCTACAGGTCGAGCGGTGGCTAAAGGAATGGAAGCCCTTCCAGACCAAAGCATTGGCAAACTTACATTTCAATCCGTTTCACTGATCAACTGAAAAAAGTCCAAACTACTCATGTTTACATTCGAATTATCCATGAGGTGGGCGAGATCCACCAGCCTTTGTATGATCCTGTATTCCAGGGGTGGGGAAGCTGTGGCCCAGCAGATGTTCCTAGACTACAACTTTGGCCATCCCTGACCATTGGCCAGGATGGGTGGGGCTTGTGGGAGCTGCGGTCCTTCAAAACCTGGAGGGCACATGTTCTCCACCTTTGCTGCACTCCTAGGAGCAAATGGTTATAATATAGCTCAAACTATTAATCCAGCCAGTCCAGTATCACTTACTTCTACTTGGAAGTTTCTCCAAAGCATAGATGGAGGTCTTTCACATCACCTGACCCCTTTTTGACTAGAGAAGGACGTGGGACCTTCTGCCCATAAAGGATGGCCTCTAACATGGAGTGGTGGCACCTTGAGAACATCTTGCTTTTCACCAGACCTACCAATGGAACTTCTTTGTGCATTGCTAGACGATCACAATGACTTATGCACAATCTCCCTGCTGCCTGGGCGTGTCTGACTTGTTTACTTCCTTGCATGATTTCATGAATGCATTTATTTATAGCAGGAAAGCATTCAAGGCAAGCAGCTAGAACATTGGGCTTGGACTGAGAAGACCCAAGTTCAAATCACCACTTGGCCATGTAGGTAAAATGGGAGGAGCAGCACGTAGAACGCCTTGAGTTCCTTGAAGGAAATGTAAATATAATAAATAAATGAAAACTAAAGGGAAAAAAGAAGGAGGAGCCGCATTGCGGGATATGGCTTGGACTTAGAACTGTGATGTCAATGCATTCAGGGGGGAAATAAGCTGAAATTTTACAGCAGCATGGAGCTGGGGGCGGTTCTGAAATGAAAGGCATCCATTATATGCTCCAGGAAATTCTGAAATAAGGAGATCTGAAATAACCTTACAGGAGAATTCTGCTGGATCAGACAAGGACCCATCAACATCCTGTTTCTTGCAGTGGCCATCAAGAAGTCTCTAGGGAGCCTACAAGCAGGGCATGAGGGCAACAGCCCTTTCTCATTGCTTGTGCTGGATGTCAGACATTCTAAGGCTCGCTGCTTGTGAACATGGAGGTTCTACACATCAGATGCTGCTAAGTGGCACCAGATGACCCAACTTGCCTAGCCAGTTGCAATTTCATTGCTGGTTTAGTTTGTATCCCACACTTTCTGCCGGATACAGTTTAATCCATAAAAGCTGCTAAGGACAAAGCGGCTAAAAATGGCTGACGGAATATAGACAACTTCCTTACACTGAGTCAGACCACTGGCCCATCAAACACAGACTGGCAGCGGCTCTGTAGGGATTCAGACAGGACCGTTCCAAGATGTTTGGGACTGAACCTGGGATTTTCTGCGCACAAGACATGAACTGGACTTTCCATTTAACATAAAAAATCTTGTCCAGTTGATCAGAGGTAGAAAAAGACTGTGCCTGGTAAACCTCCTTAGGCAGGGAGTTCCAGAGGTGGTTACTGCAGAGAAGGCCCTGCTGCATTTAACTATCGATCTAACTTCTGGTATATGAGACAAATGGAACCACTGCTCCCAAAAGCTTTCCCAAAGACATGTGGGATTTAAGAGATTTAGGGCACAATTCTATACCAGCTGACTTTCTAGGCATAAGCTCCATGGAACTCAATGGGACTTATTTTTGAATAGGATTGTGGTGTTATGTTTTAAATGGCAGAAACAGAACCTTGAGTTGTGCCCAGAAACTGAATGACACATGAGGACACCTTATTTTTAATTTCCACCTTTGGCGCTGCCCTACCTACATTTCCCAAAGCAACTCACTTAACTGATCTCTTGGCTCCATAAGCTTTGTGAAAGCATAAATTACCACACTTAACATTTAGGAAGCCCGCTCAGCATGCACGTAAATGTGACTTTCAATAACTATTTGCCAGGCAAATAGCATGAAGCACTAGGAGTCAGGGCGTCTAGACTGCCCTCTCGAGCTCTCCTAAAACAGGCTTTATAAGCACGAGTGAGAATCAAGAGTTTCCCATGCCTCAATGTCCCCTCTATAAAATGGGTGCAATAGCAATTTGCACCACCACGTCGCCCATGGCAGGCCACTTTCTTTTGTCCAACTGATTGAGCTCATAGGGCTGAGATCCAAGAGACTTGAGTTTAAATGGCTGCAATATGCAAAAACGAGATTGCTGAATCCCAGATGGCATACACTGATAGAATTTGCATGACAATAACCCTGGAGTTGTTGGCTTCTTGTTAATGAGCAGCATGCTGCTCCACACTGCCTTCCTGCTCCGTGGTGCAAGTGCTAGAAACAAGACAGTTGATGTCCAAACCCTGGATTGTGTGGCTTATTTCTTGCTAACAAACCAGGATTTGTAAACCAGCAGTAGAGATAGGGGCGGGCTTTGGCAATCTTTCATAATAGAGGTCAAAATTTGGCACCCCAAAATGGATCTTTTCGATTACGGATCTTCTCAATTTTGCGTCCCCTGGCTTGGCACCCTGTGTGAGGGAATTGCTAAAGGTAAAGGTAAAGGGACCCCTGACCATTAGGTCCAGTTGTGGCCGACTCTGGGGTTGAGGTGCTCATCTCGCTTTATTGGCCGAGGGAGCCGGCGTACAGCTTCCGGGTCATGTGGCCAGCATGACTAAGCCGCTTCTGGCGAACCAGAGCAGCGCACGGAAACACCGTTTACCTTCCCACCAGAGTGGTACCTATTTATCTACTTGCACTTTGACGTGCTTTCGAACTGCTAGGTTGGCAGGAGCAGGGACCGAGCAACGGGAGCTCACCCCGTCACGGGGATTAGAACCGCCAACCTTCTGATCGGCAAGTCCTAGGCTCTGTGGTTTAACCCACAGCGCCACCCGCGTCCCAAGGGAATTGCTACACTGTCCTAAATTTGGCACTGCTTAAGGCTCTCTTAGCCATCCTGGCTTGTGTGAACACAGCCAGTGGTATCTTTGAGCCCTAGATTTTTCTGCAAAAGGCCCACAGCTCCAACTTTTAAAAATTATTATTATCATTTCACACATCCTGCTAATAATTTGTGGCACAAAGCTCAAATTCCAGTCCTGTGGCCTGGAGAGTCACGCTTAAATTAAGCTCTTGGTGCACTGTAAACAGGGTGTGCAGGGAGCAAACACTTGCAGGCGAATTGGGCAAATGAGCTGAAGTAGGTGCTTCAAGGTATCTCTCGCCCAGTATCAGTGGACAGTCCGAGCTGAGAAAACCTGCCTGCTGGACCCTCCAAATCTCGGAGAAATATGAGCAAATCGTACCCAAGAACCTCTGTGGGTTGCAGTTCCCTGACACTTCAGCATCCTATCTCTAATGGCAGTGGCCGTGTTAAATTCCCCAGTGGGACTACTGTGGATGAATTTGTTTAATCGGTTCCCATAATATAGAATTCGCAGTGCCAAATGCTCATTTATTCAATAGACTTTGTGGATATGTCTAGGAAACTGGAGCCTAATTATTCTGAGTTTTCCCAAGTCCCAGTGAAGCCTACATGGGAAACCACAGGGATTAATTACCCTGCAACAAACCGTCCAGCCAGTTTAAAATAATTTTAAGTCCAATTGGTTTTAGTGGTAGGAGAGATAAGAGCACACCCATAATTCCCTCAGTGAATAAAAAGCGACTGAAAAGTTTATGGAACATTCCCTAGTTACCTACAAAAACATTTGCACTTTTTAAAATTCCTGGTTTACCCACCCAAGGTGTAGACATAATAATAATAATAATAATAATAATAATAATAATAATAATACTTCACACTTTAGTTTGGAGCACTTCGCATGCATTATCCTAAGACAGATTTGCTTTATTATTCCCATATTGCAGATGGGAACGTTGAGGCCAAGAGCACAAAACCTTGCATCACTTGTAAATTCCTGGAGGCTGCAATCATATCCACACTTAGTTGGGAGAAGTAAGCCCCCCGAAACTATAACATCTTGTCTGAAGAAGCGTCCTGGTGAGCTCGGAAGCTTGCCGGTTATGTTGCGGTCTTTACTTCATACAGGTATTATGCTTCTGTCCTTCTGGATGTGATTTTACCCTTATGAGATGAGATGGGCAGCCTGTACATGGTGGAATGTAAATATTTTCAGGGCAAGGACTTGTCCTTTTCCTTACGCCACAAAAGTACCATATACATGGATGGTGCCTGATACATAAACACAGTAAATTAATAGCAGTACAATATAGCAATAACAGCAGTGGCTTGATTTGACGTGGAGCGCACTCTCGTCTCTTTAAGAATGGCTCCCTACCTAATTCCCATTAGCCAATCTTGCTCATTGTGCAAGTAATAGTAGTTGAGGGTAATCCGTGCGCGCACGCCTGCACCTAACTTCTATTCCTTTCCTCCTCTGACACTTCCTCAAACCTTTCCTGCTTTTCCTCCCTTCTCTCCTTCTCCCCGCTCTGCCTCCTCCCCAGACTTCAGGAATTAAAGAGGAAAAAAAATAGCTTTCAGAAACCCGATGCCTTTTTTGCGCAATACAATCACTGTGCTTTTTTTTTTTTTTTAAATAAAAAAGCGACAGGGTGTCTAGACGCCCACGTGATAAGAGGCGGGCGGCGCGCGCGGCGCGGGGGGGGGGGGGGGACGACGACGGGGACGACGACGGGTTTGCCTGGGCAGGGCAGCGCCGCTGCGCAGTCTGGAAGCCACCGAGGCAAGGCAAGAGATCGGGAAGGAGGGAGGGGGAAAGAGAGAGAGAGAGGGAGAGAGAGAGAAATAACCGGGGGAGGAGGAGACGGAGCCTGGCTCGAGCTGGCTGGCTGTCTCGAGAGGAAGGATCAGAAGCGAGAGCTGCCCAAGCGCGCCCCCCCTCCAGCCAGCCCGGCGGCAGAGGCGCACTGGGGCTCTCCGCTTAGGTGACCTCCCCTCATCCCTCTGCCTTGCAAAAAAAGCTCTCGCCCTACCCCGAAGGTTTTTTCCATTTTATTTGAAATCCCCCCCTTTCTTTTTTTTGCAAAATCGCGGAGCTGCAAAAGGAGAGCCGGGAAGGAGGAGAGGGAGGAAGGAGGGAGGGAAGAAGAAAAGAGGTGGAGGAAGAGCGCGAGAGCGCGCAGCCAAGCTCCGGGCTCTGCTGCTGCGTTTCGGGAAAGGAAGAAGGGAACGGAAAAAGGAAGGGAGGGGAAGGCAAGAGCCAGCCCAGGCGAAAGGAACTGGGTGGATAGTAAACCCCCCCCCCCCGCCTTGCCTCCGCCGCCGCCGCCGCCCGGTTCCTCCTCTGGCTTTCTGCTGCGTGCTTGTGTGTGTCGACGAGAGAGGCGATGCTCCTGCTGGAAGGAGGAGGCGGAGGGCAAGCGGCGCAGGCAGCCGCCAGACGCAAGAGCTGAGAGCGGCATTGCCGGAGAGGCGGAGGAGGGGCCGGCGACACTTTTTCCGCCGCTGTCATTAAGAGGACCGTCCTCGCTCACTTCTCCCGGATTCCTTTCGCTCGCCGACGGTCCCCCGACCCATCCTTCTCCTTCGCCCCTGGAACCAGAGGAGAAGGGGGGAGGGCAAGGAAAAAGCTGGCGGTGGGTGGAGAGATCTTTTAAAGGGAGAACTTTGAAGGGGGGCCGGAATCCTGCGTTTTAAAAACTCTCCCTTTCTTGCTCGGAAAAGGAAGCAAGCAAGCGAGGGGCCACCCCGCCAGGGAGCAGCAAGATCAAAGCGCGTTTGGGAAGGGCAGACGCCGCCAGGGAGCGACCGGATCAAGGTGCTGCGAGCTGATCCGCAGATCGGGAGAGAGCTGCTCCTGCAAAGCTCTGCTTGGAAGAAGAGGCAGGCGAACAAAAACAGACCTATCGGGGCGAAAAGGAACGGGGATCTTTGGATGTTTTACTGTGGATTCCCCCCCCCCCCTTCTCGACCACAGAATTTTCTTCTTCCTTCGAAACGACCAGATCTAAATTATTTTCTCTCTTTTTTTTTTAGTTTTTGGCTCGCCCCCATCCCCATTTTTGTAAACACCAGGTTTCCTCTTCCCCCTTCTGCACTTTTGGGCTGGATTTAGCACCTACTCTGATCACCTAAGGATCTAAAATCTTGTGCCTTTTTTTTTTTTCAACATTAAAGAAAATATTTTTTTTTGTTTGGAAACGAAACTCCCTCCGCATCACCTCGCCCGAGGGCTTCTCCTTTGAACCACCGCTGAAGAAAATACTTCCATATCCCGTGGAGTTTCTTTGGACCGAGGGAGGGGGGCAGAGGGCATGTTTCGCTCTTCCCAAATCACCCCAGACCCCTTTCTTTGCCCCTTAGTGGATAACCACCCCACCACACGCACGCTTTAAAGAAACTGTAGGGGTTTCCTCCTCTTTGCTGTTGTTTTTGTGGATCTAGAAGGATTTGCGAAGAGAGGGAGCAAGGCAGACTTGAACCCGAGCCTTTCCCCAAGAGACTGGCGCATGCTTCACCTTGCTTCGCCTGCGTCTCCCGCAGCAGGCAGCGCGCGGCGGCCGGCGCCCCCATCTACCCCCGGCTCCGTCCTCTGTTTCCACTTCATCCCCATCATTTCAGGCTGCTTCTACTGGCTGCCTGGACTCGGCTCCCGGATTCTTCATGAGTTGCGGACGACATGCCCGTTTTTTAGCCGGGGAACCTTCTTCTCGTCCCGCATGTTCAGGACCAAACGATCGCTGCTCGTCCGAAGACTCTGGCGGAGCCGTGCGCCCGGCGGGGAGGAAGAAGGCGGCGAGCTTGGAGAGGGGGCCGCCGACAGCCGGGCGCATGGGGCGGGCGGCGGCGGCGGCGGAGGAAGCCGGGGTTGCTGCATGGGCAAGTCGGGGAAGCTCGCCAAGGCACACCTCGGATCGGAGGCTGAACTGAAAGCGCTGACCCACTCGGTGCTGAAGAGGCTGAAGGAGAAGCACCTGGAGGGCCTCCTGCAAGCCGTGGAGTCCCGGGGGGGCACGCGGACCTCCTGCCTCCTGTTGCCCACCAAGGTGGACTCCAAACTGGGCCAGCATTGGTACTCGCTCCCTCTGCTGCTGTGCAAAGTCTTTCGGTGGCCCGATCTCAGGCACTGCTCGGAAGTCAAGAGGTTATGTTGCTGTGAATCTTATGGGAAAACGCACCCGGACCTGGTCTGCTGCAACCCCTATCACCTCAGCAGGCTCTGTGAACTAGGTAGGCACTGCTTTACAAATAACCCCTTACACCCCCACCCTCAAAAAACCCCCTGAGTGCATCGGGGTGTGTGTGTGTTTTGGACGGTCAAAAAAAATAAAATAAGGGAGAAATGTCAGGCCTTTGCATTCCAAGTCTTGCAGCCTTCAAGTTGCTCTGGGTCTTTGTGGTGCATTGGAATTTTTTTTCGGGGGGGGCACAGGCTTGCATCATTCCCTGGAAATGTTGAGATCTGGAATTAAGGGGCGACCCATATTATTCGGCCAGGGACCCAGTTTAAGTAGGGTACCTCCCTGTGCCCATTCCAGCTTTGTTTTGTTTTTAAAAGTTACAAGCTTTGATGCCCTGTCAAAGAAAAGCCCTGTGTTTTTGTTGTGCATCAGAGGCTTCCCATATATGTCTGTTTTCCTAAGTTAAAAAATAAATAAAATACCCAGGGAGATTTTTAATTTTAGGTTTGAAAGAAGCCCAAAGGGAATTTTCTGTGAGTAGTCAGAACAGTATCGGACAACCTTTTCTCTCTCTATTGCAAACCTGCCCAGTTCTGGGTTTTAGTGTTTGAAGTTCGCGTTGGACCTGCAATCAGGGGGAATGAAGAAAGCATGCAACAATGACAGAAGGCTCTCCCACCCCCCACACTCTGTAAATAAATGCATTTTTTAAAACCCAGGCCATTAGTTTAAGGTGACATCAAACATTCCTCTGTGTTTTCTTAGTGTAGATTTACTATTTATGCAAAGGAGCTGTAACGCATAGTGCAGGATCAAAGAAGTCCTGATTGGTTTTTGGAAAATACATCCCCAGATCCTCCGGTTTTTTAACATACAGATCTCCAGCCAGCCTGAGGTTTGCAAAAGTAATCCAACACTTTGCTGGCCAGCCGTCCCCAATATTCTCCCACTCAGCCCTCCTTCGCTGCTATAATATAAAAGACAACACACAATTTCCAGGCACCAATCTTCCTTCCTCCTCCGGGCAGGCTGCCTTTTGGTTTCCAAACTGGAAAGGTTGAAGGGGGGTGGGGTGGGAGAGAGAAGAATCCTCAATGCAAACCCTTTTTTTGTGTGTGCTTCTGAGTGTAAAGTTCACAGCCTGCATCAAGTTTTGTGTATGTGAGTGAGTGAAAGAGAGAGAGAGAGATAGAGAACTGCTTTGGTATGCCTTAAGTCATGCTAGCGACCCCTCTCTCCCACCCACCCCCTCTGAAAACCTCGAGGCTGCAAACTCCCCCCACTCTGACCCCCTTCTTCCCAAAACCGCTTGCAAAAACTTTGGCACAACTTTTGAGCGGCGCAGAAGAAAACTGTGCAGTTATGCAGGGCCGGGAAGTTCTTTTGCTGCTGCTGCTGTTGTTCTTTTCAAAGTGGGAGGAAAATGTGAGTCTTGAATTCTGTACTTGTATCTCTCCCTTCTCTCCCCCCCCCCCAGCCATCCCACCCGCCCTCTTTCCTCTCCCCACTCTCCCCCCCCCCCCCAGGCTTTCTGTGAAATGTTAAATGTGCATGCGGAGAGCTAGCCGGGGATTATCAGGGAGCCGGGATCAGTTGGTGATTTCCAGAGCTGGAGTGTTTCAGCCCAGCCAAGGAGGCCCCGCTCGAGACAGCCAGAGGAGCAGATAGTGCGAGCGACTGGCGCCAGCCGGCCCCCTTTGTTTATCTGACAGTTAAATATCAAGGCAATCGCCGCCTAGCTTGCCCTGCCTCCAACCCCCAGAGCTAAGACAAACAGTTTTGCTACAAGAATGCCACTGTTATCATAAGTTCCTATCTTTCTCTCTCTCTTCCCCCCTCCTCTCTTCTCATGGCTCTGCTTTTATTTTCTCTGTACTTTTCTAATTCCAGAGTCTCCCCCTCCTCCTTATTCGAGATATCCAATGGATTTTCTCAAACCAACTGGTAAGTAGACTTGTTTTTAAAACAAACCGAACTTTTTTTGGGATGGGAAACTTGGAAACTTTTTTTTCCTGGGAAGGCGGTTCTCTCCCCACATTGCATGCTCATGGCTCTTTCCTTACGATTGTATTGTTTTGTATTATTACTATTATTATTAAGAATCCATTGGTTTGTTTCGCTTTTTTCAGCTCTTGTTTGCTTTCCTAGCACTCCTACACAGTTAATCACAAGCAATTCCGCATTAAGATAAGTGGGATTTGCTCCTGAATAAGTGTGGATTGTGGGATTTTAGCCTTTGTTCTTTAAACCCACCAGCTTTCACAAGAAGAGTCTGCCACGGGTTTTTCTAGAGATCTAAGTATATTTGCATCTTAAGTCCAAAAGAGAGGCTGCAGAGGAACAAGCATTCCTCACCTGTTCCTGCACATAATTTACTCAGATGTAAGACCAAAGTGAGTTCAGGGGAGACAGACTCTCCCAACTTAAACCTGCAGTCCAAATCTTTCAAGCTCTTCCCTTAAAAACAAAAACAAACTTGGTTTCTGTTAAAATGCAGTGCTTCATGTCATCCTGACATTTCACCTGTAATGTTTTAGGAGGAGCAGAAGGTGGAACAATAGAAAACTATTTATTTTTGATTGGTGAATAATGGAATGAGTGGATTTCGAGTAATACGGGTTTCCTGAAACGTCCTATTTGTTATTTCACTTTTGCTTGAAAATCCTGCTTTTGGCACAAGCAAGAGCACACCGAAAAAGAATTATGAAGGGGCACACAGATGTTTTTAGCACATTTCTCCCTGCATCCTTGGTTGCTTGTAATTGAATGGCAGGCTGCCAGGGCAGAAGCCCATTCGAGGCTGGCACCAAACGCTGTTGCGGTTGTCTGCATAAACTTTTGGCTGGCAGCAGGGCTCACCCTGTGCTAGATAAATAGGCTGGCATTGTGGAAGAGAGAGAGAGAGGGTTTAGTGAAAATCGGAAATGTGGATGAAACTGAGGGGGGAGGGAAATAAAATTCCACAAAGCCACTTCATATCTCTCCCAAAGATTAATGGACCAAAATACAGATTGCAGAGCAGTTGTCTCTATTGATTACATCCTGATGTCAAGTCGAGTCAATAGAGTTAGCAAGGTTTTTAAAATTGACTTCTTTGTAAAGGCCCAGTTTCAGGCAGTACCAGGAAACTAGTCTCTGCTCCACCGAAGTAAAACTTGTTACTGTTCATTTCCCTGGATCTGGCTAGTTTGTCAAGTTTAAACATGGTTAATCCCCAGGGATGTACAAGATTGCAGTTTCCTTCCTCAGTGTTTTCGACCATGTTAGGCTGTAAGCTGCTTGCGGGCAGAGACCTTTATGAGAGCTGTTGTAGTGTAGACTGAGCTATGAATCAGGAAGTGCTTAGTTCAGTTCTTTGCCATGAACGTGGCCTCCAGCAAATCACTCTCAGCCTCAATTCCCCCATCTGCAATTTGGGGCCTAATAACACTGTCTTGCCTCTCTTCCAGGGTTTATTAGGATTACAGCTGGATATTGCATGTGAAACACTTTGAACCCTTGAAAGCACTATGCTGCTGTCCAGTATTATAAACAACAACAATAATTTCTTAAAATACTAAAAGTGATTGAATCACAGCTGTGGACACCCTTTCCCCCCGCTTTGTTATTTTTGTAACTTTATGTGTGTTGAGGTGTTTAGCTCTCTTTTGGCCTTCAGTTCTTCTGCAGGGAGTGGGGATCATTGAATACAATGCTTCTTACTTCAGAGTAAACATGCACTGCACAAGGTAGTTGTGTCTTGCTGACATTTGTTTATGCTATGTGCAAGCAGGAGAATGGATTTGCAAGGGGTAGGAAACATCATTTAGATGTGCTCACTGAGGTGACAATTAATGTCATGGTTTGCAATCCTTGCAACGCACAATTTATTGCTTGCTTTAGCAAGCAATAGTGTGTGGTTTCTGATAGACATATGCCCACTCCAAGGTTGCGTTAGATGCTAAAGTATCTATCATAACAGGTTCCCAGCAGTCTGTCACATTGCAGTGTGACGAAGAAAGAGAAATAACAGGTTCAAAACCCATGGCATCCTTAAATGCACCCATTTTATTTTGCATCATATGGGTGCCATTCATTCCAAAGGAGGGGGAAAGATTGCATTTGGGGAGTCTGTTTTGCAGTGTTGCAAAACCTGACCTGGCACCCACAGACAGGGACTGCACAGGCTCCCCCCCCCCCCAAATTCTGCAAGGTGCTGGATACACTTCTGCTAGTTAGCCAGCTGTGTTCCAGTGGATGCCAGAATGGACTTGACGCTGGGACGCTTTGCAATCAAATAACTGTTCTCGGTGCAGCCTTAGGCAAGTCACCTTCACTCAGTCTCAGTTTCTCATTTGTAAAATGGTGGTGCTGTTTTATCTATCTATCTAGCCTGCTTTTCAGACAAATGCTGTCTCCCAAGCGGCTCACATCAATTAAAAAAACGAAATAATGACGAGAGGCGGGCCCTGCCCCCAGGCTTGCAAACTGAAAAGACAAGACACACAAGGCAAAGGGGAGTGGAGGGAAAAGGTAGAGAGGGAGAGATCTTGGCTTGACAGCGCCAGACAGAACAATGTGGTGAGTTGTAAACAGGCGTTGATGTTCGTCTGGGGCCAGACAGATCTTCCCTTGCTTGGAGGCCTTTGCTGCCTGGATAGAGGTGCTGGCAACTGACCCAGCAGCCCTGACTGGTGGCTGAGGCCAGAATGTGCTTCCTGCCACTTCTGCAATCCAGGGACACAACTGCCGGGTGGTTAGAGCTGAACGTTCTTTCTAGCAGGGAAGGGGAGAGACAAAAGTCACCTGCCTCTGGTCAATGTCAGTGTTCGTTGTTACCTTTCGGGACTCGTAGTGCAGGCAGTATGAGAGGTGGCGGCCGAGCCAATGACAGACAGAGCCAACAAATTCTGGCTTTGTTCCCAGGACGCTGGTAGCCAGTGCTGAGGGCAGACTGAGATGTTGGGGCCATGGCCTTTTTGCCATAATGGTCCAACCTCTGCTGGTCAATGGACAGAGCTAGGCTGGCCATGGCCTTGCCATAATGTTCTTCCTGGGAAGCAGAGGGTACATTGCAGGAGTTCTTGGTTTTCCGGCTGGAGGATGAGTTCAGAGTCTTGCTGTCCTGTTAAAATGTGCCATGTAAAAATGGTGTTGCTTTATCTTGCGGCCGTTTCCTCTGAACTAAGCCCTACTGCGTTTGATCAGGCTTTATCCCAAGGAAGTCTGCACACTATTGCAGGTTCAAGAGTGCAATCCTAAACACACCTGCTTGGACAAAGCCAAGCCAGGGAGACTTACTTCCAAGCAAAAGTGGTTAGGATTGAGGTGTCAGTGTTGTTATTTGTGCGTGTGTGTGTGTTTTAAAAAAGCACATTTTTGTTTATTTACTGCTAATTGCTGTCTGTTGCACAGACCCAGGGGAATTTGGAAAGAGTGGGCATATATCTGGCAACACCAGAGCTGTTTGGAAAGAATGGTTAAGGGCCTGCCACTTGGTTTCCGGTAAAGATGCTAGGATAAATCTATTAGCAGGAGTTTAAACATCCAGCCGGCTGTTGCCAGGGCCTCATTTTCAGTTAGTGGAGTGATATATTTATTCATTAGCAAGTGTTGACATAAGGTAGCAAAACTGTGTGTAAACAGAAAAAAAAGCCACAGAATGTGAACGTGCCATTTTGAAAGGAAAAGTTCTCTGTATCGGCCAATGGGAAGTGATTAATGGACCCGGTCGGAAATGAAAAGGGCCCCCCCCCCCTCCTTTAAGTCCGCTTGGCAGTTGAACTCTGAATATTGTCGCACGTGGAGCATGGAGACAAAAATACTCCATAAGTCTGTCATTACAGGTGGTTATTACAACCTCTGACTCCCATTTGACTTCCTGTTTAATCAAGGCCATTGTGAGGATTGAGAGAGTGAGCAAAAGAGAAGTCAGTTGGTCTCTATATCATTTCTATGTTCTGCTGTGATTTCCCCCTCTCCCTTTACTAAAACTGTTGTTTAAATACTGTTTGCTTGAGCCTCAGTAGACAAGAGTAGTCCTGGTGCTTCAGCTGGAGCAATTTGGGGACAGTGCAGATTGGAACGCACTGTGTTTTGAAGTGGTACAGCACTTAAGTGCAGTTTCTCCGTTTGCTGATAGAGCAACTGTACTAATGAAAACATTGATTGTTGCCTTAGGATGAGGAACCTCTGGTCTTCCAGATGTTTTGCGGCTTACAGCATTGGCCATGCTGCCTGGAGCTAGATGGGAGCTGGAGCCACAACAAGATGTGGAAAGGTTCCCCATTCTCTGCTGTTGGGTGCCTTGCATCCAGATTGGTGCTTAGGAATGCAAAACTCTTTCCCCCAGCCCTGCTCTTGGTAATATCACCTTGACAACAAGCCTCTGTGCTTGCAGCACCAACATGCCTGCCTAGTTAGATTATTTGAATTGCCTTTGCTTGCGAAAGGGTGTTCCTCGTGGATGTCTCCCAAAGCCTTTCTAAACAGGAATGTAGAAAACTTCAGAGCAACCTAATAAGATATGCAGATGTGTACTGTTAGTCCAGTTTTTCCAAAGAGGTTATGTGAGGCAGAGCAGAGAATCTGCAAAGCTATAGGCAATGGATGTTGAGTCAATACATGTTGAACAGCAGAAGTTTTAGTGCAGGGAAGAGAGAGACTGGTGCCATGTGTACCCTCTGGTTACATAAACTTCGGGATGCATGCGCGGCAAACCCGGAAGTATTTTACCGGGTTTCGGCGCAGAAGCGGTCCTCAGGTTGCGGAAACCTCGGGATCTGACCGGATCTCCAGAACGGATCCCGTCTGCAACCGGAGGTACCACTGTATATTCTATACTAGTTACTCTAGAATTGATGGCTGGTAGCTGGAAATGTGGACAGCTGACAGTTGAAGTTGTTTTGGCCTACAACTCCCATGATCCCTAGCCTACAGGACCAGTGGTCAGGGATGATGGGAACTGTAGTCCAAAACATCTGGAGGGCTGAAGGTTGGGGATGCCTGATGTAGAGCATGCATGTCACAGAGACACTTGCAAACATACATATATGTGCACCAGAGAAAAACAACTTGTGTGTTGCCTATCTGCTTTAATTTATCCTACCAGCTATCATGGTTGCAGCTGCCCTTCCAGTTAGTCCTGGGTGATGCTCATGGCAATCCTATTTTATCCTCCCAGCAGCTCTGTGAAGGGTAGAATATTACACTGAGAAATGATGACTGCCCCAAGACCACCCAGTTTGCTTGCTGATTGAGTAGGGATAGACCCTCTAGGCGTCTGGTCCAGGTTCAGATCTCCTTTGCCTGCCACACCATGCTCTTCCAAGGAGAAACCATAGAGCAGGAATCATGATTATAATTTGTTTTAGTGCTTAGAAGAGCTGAATCGGATATTGGCACATGTTGCATTTTAATCAACCAATGATGATGATGATGATAATAATAATAATAATAATAATAATAATAATAATAAAGGTTTTGTGGATGCTCTGTGTGTGGGGCAATGACCAAGCCTAGGTATTTTTGAAAGCCAACATCACCTTCACATAAAGCACTCTTATGCCACTTTATAACAGTTGTGGAGAATCTGAAGAACTGTAGTTTGGGAAGAGGGATGGGAATAATACACAGCAGTTCCCAGGATCCTTTGGAGAAGCCATGACTGTTAAAGTGGTCCGAGAGTGCTTTGAATGTACGGTGGTGGATCTGGTGTTGAGTTTTAAAAATACCCAAAATACCCTTATCCTGTGTGTGACGGAGTTGTACTTTTTTGCTGGCTTCATTGTGGGCCCTTTGCTCATTTATCCTTTATGTCTCCTAGGTTTTTGGAGACCCCTTTGTCCACCTTCCTACCTGCTCCATGCCCTTTTCCCCACTTTAGCTTCAGAAAATCCTCTCCCTTCCCTTGTTTTCCAAGAGGTTCCCAAATTGCAGTGTGATCTCTGGTACTGAAAGGGGCATCTCAAGCCTCCAGTCACATCATGACCCACAGTATTAAATCAAACTGCTCCAAACTGCTAATTCTGAAACATCAGGTTGGGAGAAACTGGGAAGGGCTGTAGCTTGGTGGTTAGAAACATCCGCTTTACATGCAGAAGCTCCCAGGTTGAGTCCCTGGCATCTCCAGGTAAGGCCTGGAAAACCACCTGCTCCGAAATCCTGGAGAGCTCCTGCCAATCAGTTCAGATAATACTGAGCTAGATGAACCAGCAGTCTGTCTTTGTTTAAGGCATACTCCCTGTCTGAGGTTTTCGGGAAGGGCCATAGCCCAGTGGCAGAACATTTGTCAGGAATGCAGAAGGTCCCATCTCCAGGTGGGGCTGGGAGAGGCAGTTAGGAAATCTTGGAGAGCAGCTGCCGGTAGCCAAATATTGAGTTAGATGGACCAGAGGGTCTGATTCAGCAGAAGGCATCTTCCTATGTTGTGCCACACTGGTTGCAAAGCAACAGATGTCCCACTGTTGAGCTGGGTTTGGAAATCCTACAAGACGGGTGGAGGAACCTTCGCCCCACACTTGCTAGGTTTCAGCTTCCATCAGTGTGGCCACTAAGTGGTCAGGGAATGGGGGAGATAGAGCTCACCAGCACCTCCAAGGCCACGTAGTCTTCACCCCCGAGCTACAGTTTGGGACTTGGCCATCATTCTGTCCCCTCCCTCCCTACGTTCAGTAGCTCCTCTCTGCTTTTTCATACTCTTTGCATGGGTCTAGCTCTATGTTATCTGGGCTGTACCACTTGAGGTTGCCATGGGAGGTTCATGCGGTGGAGAGTGGAGCATTCTGCCATGTCAGTTACCGCTGCTACCCCCAGGTCTGACCTGGTACAGCCCAGGCTCCAGCTGATACTTGGAGTGAGAATTTGGGCCATCTCAAGAACGAAGCATTTGATGTAGAGCAAGAGGCAAAGCGTCGATGTCTCATTAAAAAAATAAAACAAGAGGCCGTTTCCTTAGAACGCTGAAAACACTGTACATTTAGAAAGTGTATAGTATACAGTATTTCACAAGTAACTCAATTTCCTGTCTGCCCCATTGTTTTCAGTTTGATTAAGTATATCCTGTTAAACTGTATATTCCTGTTCAGGGTTATACTTGACTCTGATAAAATGAGATTACACAGTCGCATACGCACACATACACGTGTTCCTGCTCTTATTTTTTTCAGGAGTGAGTTCTTGGAAAAACAACTTGGAGGGATGGGTAGAGAGGGGTTGAAGGCAAAGACTCTATGTGTTTTTGCATGTGTCCATCGCTGTGCTGCAGCTATTGCGTGTCCTAACTTCATGTAGCCATAGGCCATGTTGACAGTTTGCCAGCTTGTCGTGAGGTTGGGCGCATCCTTAGATCGGCTTTTGATTTCCTTTATTTCTCTCCTGGACTTGAACCGCTTAGATTTGGATTTATGTCTATGTGCCTGGGCTCCAGTTTTCCTCAAGCCCTGGGTGGTGTGGGAAATGGTTGAGAATATGTGACTTCTAGACTCTTTTCACCCTCCTCTCGTAGAGCAGATCAAACTTTGTTTTGTTTGTTTGTTTTGTTTCTTAAAAAACAAAACCACAGAAACTCTTGAGTTTTCATTGCCAGGAACTTGAAAATTCTCTCCCCAACACTTGTTTTTCCGTAAGACTCTTTTAAAATGACATTACATAACAGTTTGTAGTAGGGTAGCCATGTTGCATCAAAAACAACATAGTCTTGTGGCACCTTAAAGACTAACAATTTTATTATGGCATAAGTTTTCATGGATTCATCTGATGGAGCCTTTTCCACTGGTTGTCAGACATAGTTTGCCCAGACAAACTATTGCAAATGCTGGTCATCATTTGGAAGATTCCTATTGAAATAATATGGAAACAAGGACAGTTTTTGTATTTTTTGAAAGGAATGTCTTTGGCAAAATGCCCCCCAGATCTTCTTCAGTTTTGCATTGTCAACTCACTGCCTTAACGCAAATCAGTAGTGCGCCAGTGAAAACTCCTTTTTGATCTTGAGCTATGGCTTAAGCATGGCAAGATGGATATTTCAATAACCAGTGACCAGCCAGAAAAGAAAACCAGCCAAACAAAAGAAGGGATGAGGGGAAGAGAAGACTGTTCCAGCCAGTCTGTAATCTTGTGCTCATTGACTAATGTGATTAAGTGGCAGAGTGGAGCCCAGACATGGGTGATGAGTTAGGGTGGATGTATCATGAAGAATTGCAGTGTCTCTGCGCAGACAATTAGTAATAACTTCCTGCTAAACGCTCTGGAATGTGCTTCATTTGGCTGGAGACATTGTTTGCTGTGTGCCTTTCTCTCTCTCTCTTTTTGAAGTGGTACGTCATGCTTGTTTTTTAATTCATTTCCCTTTTCTCTTGCAGCAAGTTGTCCAGACTCTGTGCCTTCCTCCACTGAGACAGGGGGAACTAATTATCTGGCCCCTGGGGGGCTTTCAGGTAAGAAACAGGATTTCATTCGTACCCTTGCTGTTGTACATTTCATAAACGTTTAGCAAGACTTTTAACATTCTGATCCGGCAGATGTCTGTCACTGTGGTTTGCCCTGTCGTGGCTGAAGTGGTACCCATCTCTTCTCTTGTGTTAACTGGTAGGACAGATCCAGACAAACACAGCCTGTTCTGTTCCCCTCTCATGAATGCAGTCATGCAGATGTTGGGAACTTGGTTGTCTGAAAAGCTCCAGCAGATGCAGATGCCTTGAACTAGTTCAGCAGCAGAAAAGTCAGATGTGTGCTTGCAAAAAATCTAGATCTTTGAATCCAACCTCAATTGCGGTTCCATCAAAGGATACAATCAAGACTATTTTAGGGACCTGTTGTGCAAAGGGCTGAAGAGCCATTTCATATTTTCAGTGGTCAGCATCCAGTTCCTAGGTGTCCAGGTGATCAGTTGCCGCAGATTTTCTGTGCACAGGGGCCTTGCATGCAGAAGGCTCCATGTTCCTGGCATAGAGTTGTAGAGTTGGAAGGGGCCATGAGGGTCATCTAGTCCAACCCCCTGCAATGAAGGAATCTTTTTGTCCAATGTGGGTCCATCTTCAGGGGTGGGTGGGAAATGCTCCTGCCTAAAACCCTAAAGCAAATTTTTGGTCTCCAGATGTTTGTGGACTACAATTCCCATCACCCCTAACTAGCAGGACCAATGGTCAAGGGTGGTGGGGACTGTAGTCCACAAACACTGCGCTACAGAGCTGCTGTCACTCTGTGTAGACAGTACGGAGCTTGATGGACCAATGGTCTGACTCTGTGTATGGCAGCTTCCTTTATACTTTTGTACCAGCAATTATTATTAAGTGTGTAGGTCTTTGCTGATGGTAGCTGGCAACTTGATAGCCATAGTGCCTTTACATGCAAGATTCTCCTGCAGTGTGGAGCATCTCTTCCTGATTTGGCACCATACAACACTTTTGTGTGATGCTGTAGTATTGTGACACATGGTGTTGAATAGTCCCAGAGTATTTCCTGGCTGCGCTGACAACACGAGCCACCTTTCCCTCGCATTATCTTTCTGGCCCAACAACCTCGCCGTCAACCCCCGTCGTTAAAAGAGCTGGTTGTGATCCTAGACAAAGACTGCTGCTAGGCTGGCAGCTGCAACACAGCAGTTAGCTGAGGGCATTGTCTGACTATGTGATTTATGCACCGAGAGTTAAATTATATACTGTCCACTGCATGGGTGTGCCAGAGCAGGCTCCTGCTCCTCCCCCCCCCCAACCAAAGGTTGCAAGTTTGGGCTGGTATTTCAGTGATTCTGGTTGGGCTGTAAGACATTTTGGTGGCCCAGAACTCTAGGGAATGGGAATGGCTGGGTCTCTTGCAAAAAGACTTGTTAAAAGAGCATTATGAGGCACCTGCTTTGGAGAGCTGTTGTCCCTCAAAGATCCCTTTGACTTCTAACTTGCCTGTAATGTTTATGGCCGCAATCCTGAGCTGAAGCTCAGGGGGCTTGAACCTTGATTTTACTCAGACCAGCTTCTTTCAAAGCCGTCTTGTGCTTCCTTTTTTTTGCTGCTTGTGTAGTTCTGTTCCTTAAGATGCCCCTGATTTTGTGTGTGTGTGTGTGTTTTTCCTAATGCCCCAAAAATACCTGTCTGGGCTTGTGAACCTTTCGGAAGACAAATATTCCTTGGCCAAGGAGTCCCGGCTTGATTTATGGTTTGTGGAATGGTTCTGCTCCTCCGCTCATTAGCCCTAGACCGGAATGTCAGAAATATGTCGGCTATCTGGTGGTGAGTGTGCATATGGTGCGTGTGCCTTTCTCTCCAGGAATTGCAAGCAGCATGGCTATATTTAAGTGAGACTTGTTTGCTTTCCTTTTAGCGTAATACATACCCTGCCTGTGTGTCATTTGAGAGGGGAGTATTCTGTTTGTTCAAAGGGCCCTAATGAGAATTAATCAAATGAGCAGGAGGAGAGGGAAAAGGGAGAGAAGTGGGGGCACTTGCAGGTTGGCCTTTGTTTTTCCTTCCTTGAAAAAAGAGAGCAACTTGTGGTTCTAGTTTTTCAGCAGGGCCTCCTTCTGCAAAAAGCTGAACATCATATGTAGGGGTGGGGGGCAAAACGAGAAGAAAGAAAGAATCCGTACAACACAATAAGGATGCTAGGTGGTTTCAAAGAAACAGAAAAACATGCGTGAGTACGCGAGGGGGGTGCGGTTTAGTTTCTCAGGATACCACATGAAATAAGCAAAGGAAGTACTAGCTTTTAAAGGGAGACTCTTTTTGAAAGCGTTTGCGCATTGATAACATCTTGGTCTGTCTAGTCTGCTGCTGAAGGGGAGGGAAAGTGGGGGGGGGTGTTATGGGGCTGCAGGAAATAACATCGCCTGCCTGGTGGTGGAATGCTTTCTTAGTGGGGCTCACTAGGTAATGCAGGGGGAAAGTGGAAAACTGGTGCTTTCGGTGAGGTTTCCAGTTGCCGTCTTCCGCACTCGAAGCCTCATTCAAATAGATCTTATCCCTCTATAATTTTGGGGTGGGTGGGTGTTGGAGACTTCTGAGTTTTTTTAGCATGCCAGAGAGCCAAGTTCCCACTCTAAAAGGGGAGTCTGCAAAAAAATAAAAAAAAAATGTGTGTGTTGTTTTTTAACTGCATGTTTTGTAGATATTTACAGTTTAATAAGGAGGGGAAGGGAATGCTTTAAGTCACAAAGGAAATGGCGAGCTCTGAAGCAGAAGCTGAATACCTGCTGCACGAAGGAGCATTTGTTCTGAATTTTGCCTGATTTTCTATCAAATCCACTGGAAATCTCGAAGGGTGCCTCTGAAAATTCCCTAGGAGGAGGAGGTGACTGCAGTCAAAAAGGCAAAAGGGGAAAACACTATCTAGGCATAGCTAAGCGTTTTAAAAGTACAGTCAGGAAATTTTAGCACATGCTTGACTCCCACCCATTGCAAACATTAAGGTTTAAAAGTGCTTAACTTTGGATTGGGTCCCAGGGTTTGGAGCAGCTCATCAAAGCTAACTTTCTCTTCCCTTTGCACAGTTGAGATGTGTTGCTAGAGAACGTATTTGAACAGGGCTTTTCATGAGCTATTATCAGGGGCATTTAGGGTACTTTACGTTTATCTGCAGTAGTAATAACTTCTCTAGGTTTAAGTAGGGGATGGTTCACTGAAAAGCACACATATTCTTCCTTTTTCCTATTGCCTTCCATGAATCAGCTAGGCCAGTTGCCTTCTCACTTTATCCCAAGCAATTACGAAATGGGTCGTCAGAGTCATCTGTTTGTTTGCTTATTTGTTACTAAATGTATGTCCTCCTTCCTCCCAAAGGAGCTCTGTTGCTCTCAACACACAAACCAAACAAACTTACCTGCCACGACTTTCTCTCTCTCTCAAATTCTTACACACACATCATATAGCCTTTCTGTCTCTCTCGCACACTGACCATGTCCTCTCTTTCTCTCATATGTATACACAAACCTACCTCCCGTTTTTTACTCTAATCCGTCACCTTGGCACCATGAGATATATATGGTGACCCGTCTACAGAACCTTTCGCTGCTATGTGACTTAACCTTTCAAATGGTAAGATGTAAGATGACAAGTATTGTCCCAGCACGGACAAGCCTTCAGCTTTTCTTGGGCAGCTTCACATGCCTTTAAAAGGTGTCCATCTAAGATGATCTGAATTCAACATTGAGCATTATGGTGAATGGAGTAGGTTCAGTCAGGGCAGACGAAAGCAAGTCCTTTTTTAGGCGCAGAAACGGCAGTATATAGAGCACATGGTTAACTTACGGAATTCGTTATGGGAACTTGTGGCATTCATTTGCAGCAATGGCCACTAGCTTGGAAGGCTTGCAAAAAAAAAGAGCATTTGACAAGTTCACGAAGAACAGGATTCTCCGTAGCTATTAGCTGTATGAACTAAATGGTTCAGCGAGAGTGTATCTCTGCACATCAGAAGTGCAGCTGTTGGCTTCATACCTTGCTTGTGAACTTTTCAGAGGCCTTACCAATGCTGATGGCAGAATGTTGGGAACAGATGGATCTGATCTAGCAATGTCGTTCTTGTTTTTGTTTCTTTACTTAGTCCTACCTTCCCAGAATGTTTTTCAGTGATGCACACGACAGACCTCTTTAGGCATCACCTGTAATGTAATCTCCCATCACATGTGTAGTCCTGCCCCACTTCTGTGGCTTTCCACCTGCAGATTTTTCTACTCCCTACATGATCTAGAACTTTAATCTCCTAGGGCGTTAAATATTCCAGGGAGCCAGTGACTTGATTCTGTTAGCAAAGAAGGAAGTTCCTTGCTTCAGAAATTCAGGGGCAGCACTAAGGATGTGAGGGAGGGGCCTTTATGCAAACCCCCTTGTAGTTGTGGTGGGGATGGAGGAAGAACATGTGAAAAGGGACATCAGCCTCACTTTTAGCAGTTCCATATTGTGAGTGTCATGTGAAACTGTTGAAATCAATGAACCAATGAGGTTAATCCAGGGCACGATTATTGAAATTGTAATGCCAAAGCAACCATTTTGTGGACGCTTGCAACGCAGAGTGGCTGGGGAAAACCAGCCAGATGGGCGGGGTATAAATAATAAACCATTATTATTATTATTATTATTATTATTATTATTCTGCCCATGGGCACACCATTTTCCTAAAAACATGGCCCCAGAGTCCTCTTCCACATCCAACATGGAAATGATTCTGGCTTTGCAGTAGGGCATGCATGGTGTCTGTTCCCGAAGTGCACTCTACACTGTTTTTTAGGAGACTATTAAACATTTTTTTAGCCAGCTCTCCCCTTCCCCCAGGAGTTGCCAGAATTCCCACCCCCACCCCCCAAAAAATAATTATGTTGAGAAGGTGCTGCTGGGTGTTTTGCTTCAAGGAGGCCATCTTAAAACAGTTGGGAGGCAAATGGTGCATTTTACATACACATATGTGTGTATGCCTCGCTTTTGCCTGAAGAATGCAAGAAGGGCCTGGCTGTTTTCCTTTAAGGGATGCCTTTCAGAGCTACAAATACTACTGCAGTTCTGTTTCATGTGGCTAAAACTACTCTCCCTGATGAATGGCGAAGGTGTGGGGGGAACGCGCACTGCCCAGAGGATGTGGGAGGGTGACCATCATGGAAGGATGAGAGATATTCATGGGAGAGAGCGAGAAAAGCAGGGTGGGGATGGAGAGAGACAGACGCCGCTGCCCAAAGTGTTTCCCCCTCGAAAATAACCAATCTGACTCTCTCTTTCACTTGCTGTGTTTGCTGTTTTTCTTCCTGGCTTGGACTGAGCTGCGGCGGTTCCAGCTAATGAATGAGGCTCAGTTCAGGGTGGGAGGAAGCCTGGGAGCCTGGAGCCAGTGACTTGATTCTTTTGGCAAAGGAAGAAAAAGAGAGAGAGAGGGAGACAGAAATATATATATATATATATATATATATATATATATATATATATATATTCTGGATTTGAAAACTTAATCCTGTGGGGGTCTTCACAAAGGAACTGGTTCCACCAGAAGTGACCTTTAATTCACTCTGCTCTGCCCTTTCATGTTATGTGTGGCGTTTGGAGGGAAAAAAGGATGAGAAGGCCGGGCCGTTGCAGGGAGGGAAAGAAACTAGGTTGGCTGGCCAAATTTTCTGGGACCTAGTTTAACTATGTTTTTTAAGGAACGTTCCCCCCCCTTAAAGGAGGATCTTCCCAAAGGTTAAAACCTGAACAGGGAAACTTAGGAGTAAACATGTGGCTTGGATCGATTTCCGCCCTCCCCTCCCTCCCCAACTTGCCTCTCAGTTAATCCTCCTCTCCTGAGGCAAAAAAACCACCACCACTCCCTGGTTTTCTCTTTCCCCCACCTTCTCCATAGGTCTTTTGTCCATCTCGCTTTGTGACTCTCCTGCCCATTTGTTTCTTTTGCAGTAAATAAACTTTGGGTAGGACAAACCTAGGGAGACACATGGTGGGAGTGGTCAAAGAACCCAGACGTCTGGTAACTGAAGGTCTCGGGGTCCCAGCCTGCAAACAGAAGTAATGCTGAGGCACAGCCATTTTTGCCAAGGCCGTTCATAGAATCATAGAACAGTGGAGTTGGAGGGGGGGGCCACGAGGGTCATCTAGTCCAACCCCCTGCAATGCAGGAATATGCAGCTGCCCCAGATGGGGATTGAACCTGCAATCTTGGCATTATCAGCACCACGCTCTAACCAACTGAGCTATCTAGGCTGAACATCCATGTTGGAACTGGGTCGGCGATTGAGGCACAATCCCCTTTCTGTCTCAATAGGAGGAGACAGGTTACTTTTGGAGTAAGTTTTGACGGGCAAGCTGCCTGTTTCGTGTGAGGGTATTTGTTTTTAAAGTGATATAGTCCACCAAAATCTCAATTGAATGCCAAGCTCTTGTTTTGAACTTAGGCCAGCATCTTCACCTTGGCTGGAGACGTTTTCTTGGTAGATGTGGCTGCATATTTTGAACGGCACCAGAAGTTATATGTTGCATTTAACCCGATGTAATGTGAGAGAGGAAGTGGGAGGCGAGTTAGGAACGGAGGGAGGAGGTGGCAACTAATCTACCTTTCGGTAAAGAGAGGCAAAAGGTGGCAGCAGGTTCGGAGGTTTGTTGCAGTTTACTGGATTAGTCACATGGGTGATCCTACCCCAAAAGTGATCTTGTTATGAACAGGGAGATGATGTCACCTGAGGGCGATTGAGAGTGAGGGTGAGAGAGTTCAATGGAAATGAATAACCAAACAGTGAGAATGAGAAAGAAGAAGAAAATCACTGAAAAGAGGTGTTTGGGGTGGTGTTTTTTTTAAGCACTACGAAAACTGCAGTTTGGGCTCAGCTCTACATATCTTGAAAGTTTGCACCCGTTTCTGTCAACGGAAGCTTTGGTCTCGAACAGTCATACTGTTTCTATTTCCGTTTTCAGGCAGATATTAGATTGTGCAAGTAAACTAGCCATAACATGAAGAGGTGTGGCAGTCAAATGCACCCCACACACCCGTCTGCATGAGAACAGGCCTTGTGTTATTTAACACATATGTTCAATTCTACTTCAGTTCACCTTTTTACTACAAAAAGCTCTGAAGGAAAAGCTGGTGGCCATTTCATTGTGAAATAGCAAACGGCCCTGGTATGTTTCACTATGCCTTTTGATCCTCGCTGGTATCTGTGTCAGCTACGGAGAGGCGGAACGTAAAAAGAAAATAACCCAGAAACCCTTCACAATGGCAGGGGGTTGGACTCGATGGCCCTTGTGGTCTCTTCCAACTCTATGATTCTAGGACCTGGTTTTGTTAGTGACCAAATTTATCTTCTCTCCCATTTCCCTACAAGTTAGGTGATAAAGAGAACAGGTCTCCTGTCGAAGAGGGAAATTTGGAAAGTGACACTCGCAAAGCGCATACCTGTGGAAATCCCCTCTTTGATGTAAGAGTCTTGTTCTGTTCTGCATCTGACTACCCAACAGTTTAAAACTGTGCATGGTGTTATTGAGGGCAAATAATACAGTGGTACCTCGGGTTACATACGCTTCAGGTTACATACGCTTCAGGTTAAGAACTTTGCTTCAGGATGAGAACAGAAATCGTGCTCCGGCGGCGCGGCAGCAGCAGGAGGCCCCATTAGCTAAAGTGGTGCTTCAGGTTAAGAACAGTTTCAGGTTAAGTACGGACCTCCGGAACGAATTAAGTTCTTAACCCGAGGTACCACTGTACTAGGGATGGGCAGGAAAATTTTATTCATACAAATCCCAATTACATTCCAGTCCCCGCCCCTTTAATATCAAATTTATAGTTGCAGAAGAAATGCAATTGTTTACACTTCAGCATTCCTCTTACAATCTTAAAGTGAGACATTTCTCTGTAAAACCACTAGTGGCTGCATACCTTCAATCTAAACAATTGGTAGTGCTTTTTTTTAAAAAAAAAAATCAACCCCCAAAAACCAACCCCAGATACAGTGGACGCTCAGGTTGCGAACATGATCCGTGCGGGATGCATGTTCGCAACCTGCAGTGTTCGCAACCTGCGTCTGCGCACGCGCATACGCAAAGCACGATTTAGCACTTCTGCACATGCGCAACTGCCAAAACCTGGAAGTAACCTGTTCCAGTACTTTGGGGTTTCAGGGGTCTGTAACCCCAAAAAGTGCATCCTGAAGCGGCTCTAACCCGAGGTATGACTGTACATCATTTATTTAAATCCCCTCCGCACCCAACATAAATACATATATTTCTCCATATATGGTTTCAAATGTGGTCCTGTGCAGCCTGTTGTCTTATTGCTGGATTTTAAAAAAGGAGGCGGGTTTTACAGAGCATTAGCTTGTACTTACGCCTTATTAAATGGCTTACCTAAAAACTCAGGTCTGTCTGTGCAAAAGGACAAGGTTATCAGGGGTTAATGCTAAGATGACAGCAATGGAGTCTTTGAAGTGAAACAGGCTGCCTGCCAGACTAGCACAGAAGCATTGCAGCTCTCCTCGCACATCATCTGACCATAGCAGTATGTAGCAAACCGAGGAGACTCACTCTTGGCACCGCGTCCCGTGTAGTTTTTGGCCTCTGACGCTCCATTCTAGCTCCACTGCCCCCCTCCCTCCCACTTTCTCTCTGTCCTCTGGGCTTTTACTTCCATAGGAAGGAGAAGCAACATTTCAGAAGCCTACAAAATGCGAGGGAGTCCGGATGCAACCCTCCTGTTCTGGATATGCAAGCTCAGTTGGTTAAAGCAGGGTGGTGATAATGGCGAGGTTGCAGGTTCGATCCCCGTATGGGACAGATGCATATTCCTGCATTGCAGGGGGGTTAGGCCCGATGATCCAACTCTATGATTCTCTACTTACTCTAAAGTAGACAGCAATGGAAGTTAAGTCACAACTAAGTCTCGTTGCTGTCACTGGGACTTGGCCACACAACTAACTGTAGCTGGATTGCAGCTATTAATAACAAAAGTCAACATTCCTTGGGCCTTTTAAAAAAAAAAAAGTTGGTTGTAGTGAGAAGGAAAGCATGTTGTTTATATCAGACAGTTCTTATTATAAAGAACCATGTAATTTTTGTGAGTGTTTTTCTAATATAGTGGGTTGCTTTCTTTTTTTCTTTCCGGCCTGCTACATTCTTTCAACAGCCCCCCCCCCCAAATATTGTTTAAGTGTTTGCATGGCTTTCTGAGCTCTTTAAAGAAATAATAATAATGGGGGGGATGGAGATGAAGTCCCAACAAATATACAAAGCACACTTTAAAAGTCTAGTCTAACCCTAATGGCGTGAGCCTGGCTTTATTTATGTATCTGCCTGCTAAATAAAATTTGCCCAGAGGAAGTGGTGAAGGCTTCATCACATGAGACGGTTTACTTCTGCATGTAAGAGTTGGCAATTGAGCCAGATGGGCAACTTTAAATAGGTGCGGTTGGAGCTCACAGCCAGAGAGTTTGCATGAGGGAACTAAAAGAAGTCTCCACGTTAGGAAATCCTTTTGTCTGCACAACACCTCAAATGGCACTTTGCATTCCCCAGGACCCTGTTTATGGCGATAGATTATTTAAGACTCGGTTTGGACGCTTACATGTGTAGTATCTGCCTTTGCAACGTATAAGGGTGGGTATCTGACACACTCTTAAACTACTCATGACATTAATGTGTGATTTTGGGTGCTGCAAGGAGACAGCCTCCACTTTCCCCAGACAAACTGGATGGGCTGCCTCTTAACGCATGTTGCATAATGCGAGTGGAGGAAGGAAGGGGTAAAAGGCACCCCGGTAGAGATCTGAACCGCTGTTCCCTCGAGAGTAAGGGGGACTCGACCCAGACCTAAGAGCTCACACACAGCTAGTTTTACCTCAGGCAAAATGGTTGCAACTTAACTGTACAGTGGTACCTCTGGTTGCGAACGGGAGGGCCATTCGCAACATGAAAAGTGCGCAACCTGAAGTGCTATATCTGCGCAGGTGCACACCGCAATTTGGCGCTTGTGCGCATGCGCGAGCGGCGAAACCCAGAAGTAACCCTTTCCGGTACTTCTGGGTCGCCGCAGGACGCAACCTGAAAAAACGTAACATGAAGCAAACATAACATGAGGTATGACTGTATTGTGACTGATGAATGCAGAAAACGCTTGAGAGAGACCAGCAGACTGGAGAAGCCTGTGACCTTCTGCCACATCCACCCCTCTTCAAGTGGCTCCAGGCCTATTTTGCACACTCTTCACTGTTTCCTTCTGTTTCAGTCAGTGGCTCTGTGCACAACCTTTGAGAGTCATGGCCTTTGTTTTCATTGTACTTTATTTAGGTTATTCTTTGGGCTCTGGGGAGGTATGGTCAGAAGGCACACGAGGCCACCATGCCCTTTCTGAAGCCAAGCCGCTTTGAGTCTGGCCAGTGTAAGGATGGGAGGCCACCTGGAAACCAATGGCTCTCTGCCTTAGCTTCCATGATGGAATGAAGGTGTAGCGTAAGGTTAAGAAAAGAAACACAGAGCTTGAAACGCGGGCGCAGCAAAGACATTCCACTTCCCTTGGTAAAAGAGTGAATGCATGGACAATGTGGGGTTTGTGTTTCGTTTCTCACCCCATCCATTAAACTTCCTAACCATTTCTCCCATGTCCTCGTTCCATGTGTTTTGCTATTGGAACGATAAGCAAAATTGCAGCGGCGGGTTGTTTAATAACAGTCGTTTGTAATACTACCGCGTGAACAAAAGGGCAGCACTTTCAAGGGTGTAGCTAACCGCACGCGGGGTTTTCGGCGGTCACAGAAACCATGGGAGGTGTAGTATTTGCCGTGGAGGAGAGAGTCACATTTGCTGTGTAAACCCAGCCTCTCACGCAGCTGCTGATCCAAGACTCAGAAAACTGATAGGGATTTCTTGGCAAAGGTGGCTGGCTGCTCCTTCGGGGTAATACCTCAGGTAGGCACCCCTGACTGTTCCTTCCAGCACGTACTTCCCATTCCTGTGTTTGCTCAGCTAGGAGGCTGCAATATGCTCCTGGATCGCCTGCTGTTTGGCTATTAACTAAGGTTACTCTGGGGTTATCTGCTTTTGTGCTATCTGCGGCAGCCCATCTCCTCAGCCTCTGCTACTCTTGCCGGGTGGTTTTGAAGAGATGCAGGCACCTGATGTCTCTCAATTGTTTTGCCCAAATATTTGGGCCTCAGCCACTGCCTTATCAGACAGTGCGGTTTCGCGGAGATGAAAGTGAAATTCCTACTGGTGGCGTCTTGCGCAGCGGCCTCCGAGGGAGCCGTGTAAAAGAAGACGACAACAGGGCCAGTCGGAGGTCACTGCCAGCGAGGACCATCTTTCGGAGCAGGATTGAATGACCCATACCTAGCAACCTGGCTCTCCTCCTAGTGTCACAAAGCAGTTTGCTCTCCAGCTTGCTTTCAGCTAAGAGATATTAAGCACAGTTCCATGGACTTAGTTCAGTCCATACCACACAAAAGAAAACAACGTTCGTGTTTACCTTCTTACTTTGGTTTGGAGGGCTTTTTGGTGCATGCTACTGTTTTCTGGACACAGAGCCTGGGACTTGCCGATCAGAAGGTCGGCGGTTCGAATCCCCACGACGGGGTGAGCTCCCGTTGCTTGGTCCCTGCTCCTGCCAACCTAGCAGTTCGAAAGCATAAAGTGCAAGTAGATAAATAGGTACCGTTCCGGCGGGAAGGTAAACGGCATTTCCATGCGCTGCTCTGGTTCACCAGAAGCCGCTTAGTCATGCTTGCCACATGACCCGGAAGCTGTACGCCGGCTCCCTCGGCCAGTAAAGCGAGATGAGATCCGCAACCCCAGAGTCGGCCATGACTGGACCTAATGGTCAGGGGTCCCTTTACCTTTACCTTTTTACTGTTTTCTGCAGAGTTTGTTTTAAGGTTTAACCGGGAGATGTTCTTCTGCTGTTCAGGAACTGAATATCTGTGGGAAGGTGGGTGCTGTCAGAATGGTGGGAACTGAAAGCGCTTGATCTCTGGCCCCGAGTTTGTAATTAGCTGTTTTAACCAACTTTGCAATCTTGGATCTATTCTTCATTTTATTTTATTCTGTTTTGCTGTTAAGCTGGAGGGAACAGCTCGGTAATTTAATCACACGGAGCCACCGTGTCTTCAGAAGCACAGGGACTTTCTGCAAGAAAATGCTCATTAAGGTTTCTTTATTGGGATTTCCCCCTACATCATTCTTACTTGTGCCTAGTTGCATTAGCGAGGGATGTCCAAGCCCACCTCTTTTATATGGCTGGGGAGGGTCGGCTCTTTTCAGGTAGGCCTCATGTCCTTTCACTGCCTTTACCAACAATAAATTACAGTGGTACCTCAGGTTACAGACTCTGCTAACCCAGAAGTAGTACCTCAGGTTAGGAACTTTGCTTCAGGATGAGAACAGAAATCGTGCGGCGGGAGGCCTCATTAGCTAAAGTGGTACCTCAGGTTAAGAACAGTTTCAGGTTAAGAACGGACCTCCAGAACGAATTAAGTTCTTAACCCAAGGTACCACTGTATTCCTTATTTAAGCCTCCTTGCATCACATAGGGCCACCTAATGCAGATTTTACACCAACCATATTTCAATAGTTGCCCTCAAGGCAACTCATAAGCTACCTGGGACTTCATGTATGTTCTTTCTCCCCCTCCAACATGCAGATGTGATGCATGGACCAAGTGCTGTACATTGATCCATGGTTGCACAGACACCTGGCTCACTCAGTCTCCCTTCCCAAGACTGGATCACGTGATCCAGCGCCGGTGCAAGAAGAAGGTGCATGGCTTGTCTGTGTCTACATCTCTTTGGTTGGACGGGGAAGAGAGGTGCATTCTGTTCCCTCACAATTCAAAGTAGCATGCAGACTGGGGAAAGGGGACTTAGAATATGGAAAAATGAAAGCTTTATTCCTGGACTGGAGAAGGGGCATTGACCCCATTCACACATGGGTGGGCCCAAATAGCGTGCGAAAGACTCACAGGGTGAACCAAGGCGGGGTGAGTGAATGGAGCTGTGGAATGGTGAAATTGGGAGTCCTCTTTTTAAGCCTGGGCTCTTCAGCCTTAAAAAAAATCATCCCCCTTGGCTTGATAAGTTCTTGTGTTCACAAGCAGATAGAAAAACCATTCAGCTTTCAGGACCAGAGAGCCAGTTTTCTGCAGCCTGGGCAGGGGGGTGGGATGACACAGTGCCTGAGGTTTTTTTGGGGGGGGGGACAGGCGGCGTGTGTTGATAGCAGGTAGTATTTTTAAAACACGTAATGGTAACTTTCACCCTGTTCTTAACAGGAAACATTGAAACACGATAGGATATTGCATCATTGCTTCATGAGAAAAGTTTTTTTTAAAAAAGAAAAGAATGAAAGGACAAAAGGAAGGAAAATGTAGTTAGTAATTAGTGAAAGAGGAGAAAAAGACAGGGAGGCTCGAGACGGCTGTCGTCCCCGTCCCCCCCCTTTCCTAGGAATCACATGCTCTTGTAGGGCCTGATTTCCAAAGAGAGAGACTGTTTGAGCGCTTGATTTTTATTTTTATTATCTCAAAAAATATTTTAATAGCAGGGTCACCTTTACTTGAATATTGCCTTGCCGCCTCCTGTCTCAGTTTACTGAGGAATCTTTTCATGATTTTCCCCTTGGTTTCCTTCCCCAGAAGGCGAGGCAAAGAGAGCGTTTTGGCTGGGAAGCTAATTTTGGTTTGGCTGCTGAGGATTAAAATTTGGTCTCCACCCAGTGTCATTATCTAGGTTTCAACTTGGGGTGGTGAAGGAGCGCAGAAGAGAAGGGGGGCGGGAAGACTTCATAAAATTTCGTTCAGCCCTCCTTTACCCTTTTAACCTTGCTACGCAGAGGGGATTTTTATTTATTTTTTTGCGTGTTTGGTCTCTCTCGCGCTCTCTCTCTCTCTCTCTCTCCCCTTCCATGCTACTGAGTATGTTCATGTGCCTTTAAAAACATTAAGCTTTTTTCAGGAATTCCTTTGAAAGCCTCTTCAGTATCTCCCTGTGCATTAGCAAGAAGAAAAAAGGAAGTAACTTTTATAGCTGCCTTGGTGAATCTGGCTTGACTGTCTGTAAAGAACTGGCACAATTAAACCCTTTCTTTAAAGGGGAAGGAAGGGGAAGAGGGTGGGAAAAGACCCTTTCAGGCCAATTATCATGCAGTCGCCTTCCTAAGGGGCTAATGGTATCCTAGCTCCAGCCTTTAAAGCCCTGACCTTGATCTGATATCTTCCCCCCTTTTGTTTTTGGTAGGATCCTTTTATGTTGGTGTGAATAGAGATACAAGTTAAATCAGAAAGCGTTTAGCGTTGTCTATGGGTCTTTGTTAGCCTCCAAAAACCCTAGCCTTCTGCTGCTGTTTGTGTTATCTTTTGAGATAAGTTTTGGTTACAGAGAGAGGCCCGAAAATGTGATTGCTCAGGAAATGCAACAGGAACAGCAACAAATAAGCCCCAAGCTATCTTAATTGGTTAGGAATCTGGTGATAAGATCACAAGCAAATGTCCTTCTGGCTTAGACAAACCACATCCAGCCCAATACTCTCTCCCCAACAGTGGCAACTCAGATGAATCTGCAAGTTCACAAGCTGACCATTATGGAGATAACGTAGCAATCCCTGCCAGCATATGGGAAATCAGATGCCTGTTAACCCTCAACATATTAATGACTCTAAAGTCTAAATATAAACATTTTTCCAGGTGCTAAAACCCATTTGAGGCAGACCATTTCAGAATAAAAACCCTGGTCAGTTGACTAAAAAATATGTCCTTCAACAGTAAGTTTGGCCTGTGCCTTGTTCATGAAAATTACTTGACTTTTTCTTGCAATCACTGCATGAAGGTTAGCTCAGACCATTTGGCGCGTGGATGTGATTCCTGTGCGGCCTTCGTTGCAAAGATGAGTTATCCATTTCTGGATGGATCAGATTGGCAGAAGCCCATAAGCAAAGTGAGGAAGAAGGCATGGAGTCACTGGGATGGTGGGTTTTTGACCTTAAATCCTCACTATCCTGGGTTCTATGCTGTTGCCTGTCCAACAGTGGACAGTCCATGCCTGTGTCTGTCATTCCTCCTCCTTTCATTCTTTGCAACCTGTGTCCTTTTCAGAGCCAGCATCACGGGCAGAAGAGCTTGCTTTCCCTGTACATTGGTCCCAACCAATCTTCTTGCCTCTATATGCAGCAGATTGAGAAAGTGATAGAAGTAGACTTGTCATGATTACAAATTGCTGGGCCGAGAATTAGATTTAAATTGTTAACGGATAGAAAAGACAGAGGAGGATTCGCGGTCCCAAATTTGAGATTGTATTATGAAGCCTCATGCCTTTGCTGGCTCAGAGAATGGATTGTCTTAAAAAACACAGATCTGCTGGACTTAGAAGGCTTCGATTTAAGATTCGGCTGGCATGCTTATCTCTGGCAGAATAAGGAAAAGGTGCATAAAGGCTTCTCAAATCATATTATCAGAGGAACATTGTTAGAGGCATGGGAAAAGAATAGAAAACTGTTGGAAAAAAATACCCCCTGGTGGCTATCGCCTATTGATATCTTAACTATTAAAAAATAAATATAGAAGGTGAGAGATGGACCTATGAAGACCTCCTGGAAAGATCAGAAAGAGGATGGAAAATTAGACCATACGAAGAGTTAAAAAACAAATTAACAGGTTGGTTGCAGTATCATCAAATTAACGCCTTATGGAAGGAAGATAAAAAGATTGGGATGAATGAGAAAAAATCTAAGTTCCAGGTAGAGATAATAGAAAGTAAAACCAAACTTCTATCTAAAATGTATAATCAGTTATTAGAATGGGACACTAAGGACGAAGAGGTCAAGGATGTTATGGTAAAATGGGCGATAGACATCGGATACAATTTGGATTTTGACAAATGGACGAGGTTGTGGAGTAAAGGAATGAAATTCACAGCCTGCACTACCCTTAGAGAAAATATGGAAAAGATGATGTACCCTTGGTACATCACCCCTGTATAATTGCAAAAAATGTATAAGACTGGAGATAAAAGGTGTTGGAAGTGTAAAACTAAAGAAGGAAGTTTCTACCATATGTGGTGGAAGTGTGAAGAAATTAAAAAATTTTGGGAATCCATATACGAATTGAAAAAAATATTTAAATACACTTTCGTTAAAAAACCCGAAGCCTTCCTTCTGGGAATGATCGGAGACGAGATTAAGAAAGAAGACCATATAATGTTTCAATATGCATCTGTAGCTGCCAGGATCCTGTTAGCACAAAATTGGAAAACCCCAAATATCCCGACCGTTAAAGATTGGCAAATTAAATTATTTGAATATATGGATTTGGCAAAAATGACGCAGAATATCAGACAGCAAAAAGGTACAAAGTTTATTGACGATTGGACCAAATTTATAACATACATGGAAACAAATTCTAGAGATCCACAGTAGGTTTAACATAATCTGCGATGTGCAGATGATATAAAATGAAAACTGCAGAATGGAATTATTATTCTACATAACCCAAAACCAAGATGGAGGGAAGTCAACCATTATTTGTTGTTAATTATTATTAATATAATTATATATATATAATTATTTCTTTTGGTCTGCTTATGTTTTCTGTTTTGGTTGATGTTTTCTTTTTTCTTTGGTGTGTTTATTTGGTTTTTTGGTTTTTTTTTACTTTTCATTGTTTGGTTATAGAAAATTAATAAAAAGAATTGGGGGGGAAAAAACAAATTGCTGGGCGTGAGCCTGGCGTTTGCATCTAATTTGCCTAGCCTCCCAATTTCACATGCATCAGGGAGAGAGGAAGCTTGCTTGGCTAGGGTGATAGAACTCCTTTTATTGAACTAAGCACAAAGGCTAGCTCCTTTGCTGCCTAAGTAACCTCATCCTTCTTGTCTCCCCTTGCTTTTCCCCCTTTCCTTTTTGGCTTCAGTTTGTTTTCATAACAACGAGAGCCTGGGGTTGTAGTTGTCAGTCTGTAAAGGCTTGCTGATCCTTCAGCGAGTGTGACTTGTCAAAACACAACAAGACGCCACAGCAAAATGATGCAGGCGGTTTGAGCAGACGGAGGTGGATTGTCTTGTTTCTTCTGCCCTTTTTAACTTCTTCTCCACCCCTCCCACTGGCATAATTTTGAAACATCATTCTTAAATTAAAAATGCACACATTGTCAATGCTCTCCTTGTTGTTTGGCGTGTGTTTGTGTCTGCAGTTTCCCCATGTGTAGTTTTACTCAATCAAGGCTCATATCCAAAGCAGCACATTTGGTGTGGAAGTCTTGTCTCTGTAGATGATAGATTATTCAGGTATGTCCTTGGGAGCCTTTATGTCTCTGTGGTTGGCTGATGAATGATGGGCCCCTGGAAAATGAATGTTGATCTCCCTTTATTGCTAAAATCTACGTGGGAGGGAGAAGCGCTTTGGTGTTGGAAATGGCTGTTCAAAAGCATGCATGAACACTGGCCCAGTCCTTGAAAATCCCACTTGCTTCTCATGAGTAGTAGTCATTTGCTATGCAGCTCCTCCTGTGGCAATTTAGCAGAAAGGAAGAGTCCAGTTCATACTGGTGATAATGTTGTGCCTTTAAGGAATTGGATTTACCAGAAACATAGCAGGGGCACCACCACCGCTGCTGCTGCTGCTGTTGTTGTTGTTGTATGGAGCCGTGGACTTAATGTAACATAAAACAAAACATAATAAGCAAAATATTAAAATAATTATAAGTGTTGTTGTTTAGTCGTTTAGTCGTTTCCGACTCTTCGTGACCCCATGGACCAGAGCACACCAGGCACTCCTGTCTTCCACTGCCTCCCACAGTTTGGTCAAACTCATGTTAGTAGCTTCAAGAACACTGTCCAACCATCTCTTCCTCTGTCGTCCCCTTCTCCTTGTGCCCTCCATCTTTCCCAACATCAGGGTCTTTTCCAGAGAGTCTTCTCTTCTCATGAGGTGGCCAAAGTATTGGAGCCTCAGCTTCAGGCTCTGTCCTTCCAGTGAGCACTCAGGGCTGATTTCCTTCAGAATGGATCGGTTTGATCTTCTTGCAGTCCATGGAACTCTAAGAGTCTCCTCCAACACTGCAATTCAAAACCATCAATTCTTCGGCAATCAACCTTCTTTGTGGTCCAGCTCTCACTTCCATACATCACTACTGGGGAAACCTCTCTGCTTTTAAGATGCTGTCTAGGTTTGTCATCGCTTCATTCACTACCAAAAAACACGAATGAGGTCTGTTTCCATTGTGGTGGCATGCGTGCTATTGCTTATGTAGCCAGAGTAACACCTTGCTCTGTGCAGACCCAAGGGAACTTTTGCCTATTCTGACACTACATAATACTTTTCTTTTTTCCACCCCTTTCCATTGTTGTTGCTTTTTGCCTTCAACAGAGATGCAAGAGACCTAGACCCAACTCTGCTTTGGTTTTGGAGTTTACAAGGTGCAGAGGTTTTTTTTTTTAAGAAATGTGGAACTGAAGTAGAAACACATGTATGTTTTCTTGTACTGCGTTAGATCTTGTGGCCTGTAATAGGATTGCCTTGCCTTTTGTGAGGGTCTTCATTTCAGGGTTACCCGGGAGGAGTCCAGATTTCTCTGGTGTTTCTTTTTTTTTGCTTCAATGGAGGCTTCCCCTTCTTTCTGTTAAATCAACTGTGGCTGATAGATACTTTGAACCCCGAGATAGCTTCATTGTTCTCTGTAGGTACTTTCTTAGCTGAAGGCCCACCGATGTCGACCTAACAGCCATGACTCCTTATGTGTAGACCACAGTTCCTTCAGGCAGTGGTGTTGGTTTTCTGGGAAAAAATGGAATTGGAAAAATTTCCTATGCGATTTAAGAGTAATGAAAATGTTCCGTTTAAATCGGGTGTGTGTGTGTCTGTCTGTGTGTGTAATGCTTTAGAGAGTGCTATAATTTAGCCTATAAGCTTATTTTGCTTATATTCAGTAAACAAAGCTAAAAAAACTGAACTGCAAAGCTTGCCTAATATTACATATTTGCAGTTTGCATCCTTTCACTGCTTCTAATAGACTTATGAAACAGAAAATTCTCCATTTTGCAAAGGTTTCCCACTCCACACATCACTGCCTGCGGATGGGAGAGCGATCAGTATTTTATGGGTTCTAGTTGCTGACTCAGGGAATTTCATTCAGTTTCAGTAAAGAGGTAGAGTGTATACCTGTAAACAAGATGTGAATGTGTGTAATGTATATGCATATGAGAAATATATCTGATAAGCAGCCTTGGGATGTAGCCATCTTTGTTAGTAGATGTTATTTACAGTGCCGTGTTGCTGCCTAGAGAAAGTTTAAATCAAGTTTTATCTTTTCAAAGGGAGTGTGATGCCAGCGTTCAGTGGACGCTCTTGTCTGGGTAGCTTAGCACCCTCCCTTCGAAAGACACACCGTGACTTATGCATTCATAGTTGGACAGAAGTTCATTAACTTCTGAAGCAACTCTTTATTTATGCCTGACTCACCAAAGCTGAGAATGTCTAAAGAGCTTTCACTTTGTTGCTTCTAAAGTTTGCCCCAGGCCGTATCACTTGTAATGAGAGCTTGGGCGGACTTAATTCATAGATACCAGAAGTTCCAGAGCATTATTACCACACTGAGGGTTAGGGTTGAATATAAAGGATAGCTGTGATGAACTCATACTTACTCAGGTGAGTAAGAAACGAGATCGCCAGTTTCCAAACCATGTTGCAGAGAATCCCAGGGTTTCTTGGAAACATATTAAGGGTTCTTCTCCAATTGGACGGTTAAGTGGTAACAGACAAGCTTTTTTTGCTTAAAACGCATTATTTATTTATTTCTGTAAGTAATTCATTGTTTTGACCATAGGTCACATCACAGAGCATCATAGGCAGATTAAAAAGGGGGGTATGTCAACAAATGATACATAAGTAGTCCATATAACTCCAATAAAAGAAACCATCATTCAAAGATTGCACAATAAAATTCCCATTGATCCTTACGACAAACTGCTGTATGAGTGTCTAGATCAGACTGATGTAGCTTGGCAGCCGCAAGAAGTAAATAGAGCCACTTGCCCCAACCCCTTATGAACCTGTTGCTATTGGCATGCTAAAACTCAAGCCAGTGGTCTAGTTCTAATTATATATAACATTTATAGTTTAACATACAATCTTGGCACAACAACAAAAGTAAACTACAAAATCCACATGAAAAGCTTGTGATATAATCAGAAGTATGTATCTTTCTAGAATCCTTTGGCAGTGTGGGGTTCCATGGCAGAAAAGATGGTGCAGGAAGGGTTTCCTGAAGGTAGATGATCTGAAAACTGGGGAGATAGATGTTGCAATCATGTCCTGCTTGTGAGCATCTGTGATACCTGGCTGGTAACTGTCAAAAGACAGAATGGTGAGATAAATGAACCATTAGCCTGAGTCAGCATGGGTATTCTTAAAAGTTCTTCCATTCATTAGGTTTGCATCCATAACCAAACACATGGCAGAGTTAGAAAATTGCTTTGGTCTTGTGTGCTTTGGAAATTGTCTCATTCTGTTGTTGATTTCAATTAGAAAAAGGGTTGTTGTGTTGTGCTGGTTTGTTTGATGGGCATGTTTGATGACTTCAGCACCACCTTCGAAATCACAAATCAACTAAGGGCTGATTTGCAGTGATCATAGAATAGTTTACAGGTTACTGTGAGCACTGAGATCATTCCTTCATCACTCCCTCCCCCAGCTCAAGCAGAAGTGGCAAACCATGATCTCTGGCTTAACATTACATCCAAACCAGGGCTGTGGTTTGCTTCAGTCCAAACAGATCACTATTGGTAAGCCAAGAGCAGACCTTGGCTCTACATCATGGTTTGTTTGGAGTGAAACAAACCACAATCCCGGGTTCAGGTGTAACACTAAACCAGGAGTCGTGGTTTTTTGCTCCTGCTGGTGCCGAGGGAATAGTGAAGTGGGAGCCATCTGGGCGCTCACGGTTAACCATGGTGCACAAATGCAGTCAGGTACATTTGCCACCAGGAGTGGACTCTGGTTTCTGAAAAGGCAAATGGTGCGAAGGGGAGGTATAAGTTTGTATACTTGTAGACATACATTGGGCGTTCTCATTGACTCTCTGCAGATTCCACCATATATAAGGGAGTAGATGTGCTTGCTTCCTAAAGTGCGAATGGTCTGTAAGTGATGATAGCTTTGGGAAAGTAACTTAGATCTTTGTCATCAGAGCTCAGATGGTCACTTGCATTCATTTGGAAACCAGGCTGAGGCTTTTAGCCTTTTTGCAGAACAGCGCATGCTTAAATCAAAAAGCATAGAGGTCCCACAGTTGTTCATGTTTGTTTCTTTACACCCTAATGGGGTAAACGTCGCCCCTCACTTTGAAGCAGGACTTCATTATACAGAGCCTTTTTCACCTGCTGTTACTTTGGTGCTGATGAGCATGCCTGTGAAAGATTGCACATCGAAATTCCTAACTAGCTCCGGGTGTTTATGCTGCAAGTATACTTGTCTATTCAGAAGTAAGCCCTATAAAAAATAAGTCCCATACTGCTTGTTATTTTTAATAGATAGAGTGGTCAGGCCACTGGCAAAATGGTGGTTAATAAGACTCACCTGACCGGGTTGTTGTCAGGATCACACATGTGAAGTGTTTTGACCATTTCAAAGAGAAATATTATTAAGTATTATTGTTAGATGGAAAGCAGCTTTGAGAAAAAACTCTGATCTGTGTGAACCACATTGGCAGTTGATACAAAGAGCAGAGGTGCCAGAATTCACTTGGTCGGAAGAAGACAATTGATGTCCAGCTGCACTGGCTCCCGGTGGAGTACAGGATCAGGTTTAAGGCGCTGGTTTTAACCTTCAAAGCCCTATACGGCCTAGGACCCTCGTACCTACGGGACCGCCTCTCCTGGTATGCCCCACAGAGGAACTTACGGTCTTCAAATAAAAACATCTTGAAGGTCCCAGGCCACAGATAGGTTAGGCTGGCCTCAACTAGAGCCAGGGCTTTTTCGGCTGTGGCTCCAATCTGGTGGAACACTCTGCTACAAGAGACTAGGGCCCTACGGGACTTGACATCTTTCCGCAGGGCCTGCAAGACAGAGCTGTTCCACCAGGCCTTTGATCAGGGCGCAACCTGACTCCCTCCTTTGGCAATCTTTACAAAACTTTAGTTTATGGTTGCCATCAATTTTGATTTTAATTAATTTTTATAATGTTTTTATAATGTTGCACTATTTTAGTGTTGTTAGCCGCCCTGAGCCCGGCTTCGGCTGGGGAGGGCGGGATATAAATAAAATTTATTATTATTATTATTTTATTAATGTCAAGGTAACTAGCTAGATGCTCCAGGAAAGCTCACAGGTAGACTGTGGTTCTGTTTTATGCTCTGGTAGTTTGAAGCATGCCATCTCTGAACATAAGAGCATGCATTTCTGAAAACCATGATCAGAACCAATCAATAGGCCTATCTTCCGTATCACTTTTTAAAAAAACATTTTATGTTAGATCCCATCTCAATATCCTGTGGCAGTGAATTCCATTGGCTAATTATCCATTGTGCAAGGAATTGCTTGGTCATAAACCATGTGCCCATTTGCTTCACTGGAAAACATTTTTGAGTCCATGTAATTTTTCCAACCTGTTCCACAATTCCACTGCCAAGTGTCTCCTCCAGGCTGCCATATTTTCTCTCTCACTTAAACCAAAAGTCCCTGGCATCCCTTTTATGTACCTCTTCCAGCTCCGTTCTACTGTATTTTGTCTTCCATTGTGCCTGCATTTAGTGTGTGTGTGTGTGTGTGTCTATTTGATTGATTTTGAAAATTGCCTTTCGGATTTTATATTGTTTGCTTCCTTGGGCAATGCCCCCTGTATGGAAAGTCTAAATAGCTAGTTTGCTAATGGGAAATGGAGGATAAGAAACGGTTGCCATGTTTGTCTCGCCAGTGTGGTGCATACTCTAGTTATCTCATAGAATCATAGAATCATAGAACTGTAGAGTTGGAAGGGACCCTGAGGATCATCTAGTCCAACCCCCTGCAATGCAGGAATATGCAGCTGGTCCATACAGGGATCGAACCTGCAACCTTGGTGTTATCAGCACCATGGTCTAACCAACTGAGCTATCCAGGCTCAACATTGGCTCCCAATACGTTTCCGAGCACAATTCAAAGTATTGGTGCTGACCTTTAAAGCCCTAAACTGCCTTGGCCCAGTATACCTGAAGGAGCGTCTCCACCCCCATCATTCTACCCAGACACTGAGGTCCAGCGCTGAGGGCCTTCTGGCAGTTCCCTCACTGCGAGAAGCAAAGTTACAGGGAACCAGGCAGAGGGCCTTCTCGGTAGTGGCACCCGCCCTGTGGAACGCCCTCCCACCAGATGTCAAAGAGAACAACTACCAGACTTTTAGAAGACATTGGAAGGCAGCTCTGTTTAGGGAACCTTTTAATGTTTGATGCATTACTGTATTTTAATATTTTTGTTGGAAGCCTCCCAGAGTTGCTGGGGAAGCCCAGCCAGATGGGTGGGGTATAAATAAATTATTATTATTATTATTATTTTATTACTACACAGGTTTGATGCTGGCTATCCTATGCTTGCGAGCACCTTTCTGTAGCAACCAAGCCAGTAAGAAAAGACCTTAGTGGCAACTTGACCTGAATATAGTACAGATATTGCAGTCTAGACAGAACCTGACTTTGTCACGGTAGCTCAGACTGCTGGGGGTTTAACCCACTTTGTAGGGACAGCAGTTCCTGATCGTTCTCTCTCTCTCTCTCTCCCTCCCTCCCTCCCTCTCTCCTAGTCTAGCCTGGCGTGGCAAACTAGGTCAGGGGACGAAACAGCTTCAGCAGCAGCAGTTCAAGCAAGTGCACAAGAAGCAAGAGACTCTGTTGCTGCTGCAGACTCTCTTTAAAGTTTCCTGCTCCTCTGCTAGTTCATACAGTGAATTGCTGCTACGCACACAAACTCCCTCTTAACTTTTAAAACTGAAGGTTGTTTCTTATTTTAAGGAAAGGAATTCCCCCTCTCCCTTCTGCAGCCTGCTTCCCAGGAATGTTGGGAAGATTGATTAGCTTCATCAACGTAATGTACTATCTTAATTGTTAAGTGTTATTAATTATCTGAGAAAGGTAGGAGACAGAGGAGGTGGGTGGCCGGGCGAAAGGAGAGGGCTTTATTTTTATTTTTTGCAGGGTGTGTGTCCAGATAAGCAGCATGCGGAGCTAGTCTAAATAGCCTTCTCTGTTGCTTTTGGCTATTAGCTTTCATTCTTGACTTTGGGGGTCACTTGGGTTTCTATCTGGAGAGTTGGGGGCAGGGAGGGAGAGAGAGAGAGAGAGAGGCAGGACTGCTAGGCAATGGTTTTGTAGAGCTGGCTCTGTGAGAGAGAGAGCTTTTGTTGCCTGCGCTTAGGCACAGAAGTGATTAGATTATGAAGGCAGACAGAAGTAATGATTAACTTTTTCAGTCTGCATGCTGTCTCCAGTCTGGCGCTCTGCGTTGTTTTCCCCCCTAAGTAGGCCCTGGCCCTGAGTCGACAGGGTATTAGGTTGTAAAGAAAGGCAGAAGGGAATGAAAGCCAGGGGGAGGAGGGAGGGGAAGAAGCGAAAAGGGGTAAGGAGGAAGGCTGGCGCTTTTCTTCCATCGGATCCGGGAATGGAATTTATTGGCTGGAATGCAGTAAACGTTCAACATGCCAAACCTCTCCCCCCATCTAAACAGTTTTCATAATTGTTATTGGGGGGGGGGAAGGATCTGGGCTGGATGAGAACGGAGGGAGCATGAAAAGAACTTTTTGTTTCCAAACTCATATATATATATATTTGCTGCTTATGTTTATGCTTAAGGAACATTTTCTTTCACTCTCTAGGAAAATAACTGCTTTAGCCTTTTGGCTAAAAAAAAAAGATGCCCTAAGTTTCGCTTTTTGCAGGCTGAGAACATTTGATCCGTGTGTTGCCGCTGAGAAGGGGTTCCTTTCTTCTGCCTCCTCTCTTTCTCCCTCTCTCTCTCTCCCATTAGTAGATTTGCAGAAAGTATAGTGGATTTGCATGGAATGTAACCAGGCATTCAGCAGAGGACGAAAAAAGGCAAAAACTCCAAATGCTGCTAGAGTGTTTAGTGTCAAATTGGTATACTGCACTGTACAGTACTGGCTTATATTTAATGATGCTGTTGTTGTTTTGGAATTTGCAAAGTTTCTTAGCATAGCTGTGCCGGAAGGTGGAAAAAGCAACAAAACTTAACAACCTATCACATGCAAAAAAGAAAGAACCACCCCAGATGGGTGATCAGTTTCAGTGAAATCAGATGTAGATATTCCAGGGTTTTTTTTGGTTCAGATGCCACATTGGTCACAAAAGTAGACCTCCCTAGAACCCAGTGATGGCCACACTTGGCCCTCTAGCTGTTTTGGGACTACGACTCCCATCATCCCTAGCTAACAGGACCAGTGGTCAGGGATGATGGGAACTGTAGTCCCCCAAACAGCTGGAGGGCCAAGTTTGGCCATCAATGCCATAAACCATCCAGTGGAGGACGTGAATTGGTTCTCCATGTGAAAAAGGAGATGACACATATTTTAAGTTTTTGTGAATGAGAGAGAGAGAGAAGACTATGCTGCTATAGAGTGGGGGAAGAATACAAAATTGGTTTAATACTCCCGCTGTTGTTAATATAACACGAGTTTAGAATGAAAAGCGCCCTATTTTTCGATCAACGCAGAAGATACTTGGATTTACACAGGAGAATCTGCCTTGGCGCTGGCACTGGAGAGGATTATTATCAATTTGTGAAGCTGTTTTGAAATAGGTGCTGAAATCCTTCTATAAGGGGATTGGGGTTACACGTTGGTTCTTGCTAGCACCTAGGCGGTTTTATGCTTGCTGGTCTCTCGTTTGGTCAAGGTATTATACTGACAGACCCTGAGCACGACCAGTCTAAGCCAACTTGGCCATTGGTCAAGGATGATGGGAGCTTGAGGGGGTTAGCAAGACTTGTAAGACCAGAGGTTTCGTAGTATGTTGTGCTTTTCCTGCCTCCCCACTCTCTGGGCCCCACTCTCTGGGTCAGCCTAGCCTACCTCACAGGGTTGCTGTGAGGATAAACAAAACTGGTGCACTCTCCCAAAATGCAGTTGAGATTTTTTAACAATAATGACTCCTTTCTGGAGCCAGAGAGGGAGGGGAAGGGGGGGAAACAACAAGAAGAGAGCTTTGGGGGATATTTAAGTAGAAGGAGAGAAGAGACACCAAGGAGGAAATAAGGTTTTTGAAATTAAAACTTCAAAAATAATTAGGCTGGGCTTCATACCAAACAACAGCAAAGAGGGCCATTTACTGTAAATATTATGAATGGATTTGGCTGAGTTTCTCGATCCCCGCCCTTCTAAGACTCCTTTTTCTTCTGAGCTAAGTAGAAACTCTGCCTTCAGACACCACAGAACTCTATAATTTGCATGGCTGATGAGGCCTGTTGCCTGGGACAGAGGAGGATGGAGTCAGCTGGCTTTAGTCTAACCACCAGAGACAGCCAGGCCAAGCCTCCTTGCCGTGTGTGTGTGTGTGTGTTTTCCCCTAGCTATAAAGCATACTCATTCGAGGACTCGGTGGCTTCTGCCTGCTGGCTTTTAAAAGAAAATACAATTAGGCTTTAAAAAGGAATCCCCCCCCCCCGGCACCGCTCCATCTTTCGTCTTCTTCCTCTTCGGATCGTTTCGTAGCAATTGTAATTGATTACTTGTCATAATTAGACAGCGGCAGTGACTAATGAAGCATTTATGAATCAATGTATGTTTGCTTTCCAAAGACCCCTTTTAAAATGCTAGGAAATGTAGGTCTTTCTGCTCTGCGATCCCTCTCTAACGATAGGACACAAAATTTTGGCCGGGGCAGGGCATGCATTACGTTCTTGCAGCCCATGGCACCATTCACACATTCGGCAATATGGGTACCTTTAAGGTGTGGTGAGGCAGTCAGGTCATTGGCGCATCTAACTTGGTGTTTTCTACATTGCATGCGCTTCCATTGTGCTGCACATGGATGCTTCTGACACTGATGCAATGTCTAAATGCAACACACACACACACACACACTCATTTTCATACACAAAGCTTAACTTTCATTATTCTTCAGCTGGGGAGGAGAGATTGGAGGAGAGCACCACATAGACATTATTCCTCAAAGCTGATTATTTTGGGTGGTGGGTGGGCTACTTGAGAATTACTTGAAAATTGTCTAGGGCGACCCCCCCTAAAGTGGGTTGAATACGGTGTGGGAGAACACACACTTTCATGTGAAACATTGTGTCATGCCAAGTAGGAGGTTGAGATCCGTCAAGTGGAATGTCATTCACAAGTTAGAATTGGCAGCCCCCACCCGGGGATAAGAGAGGATGGTGGTTTCAAGTAGACTTAGAAGTCCATATTTAGCCTGGAGGTTCATAAATCACACATTTTTGGAGTTATGCACCATCCATTCAGGTGGTCAGGAGATCATGGGATTGTGAGGATGAAACGGGGAGGTGGAGAATCGTGTACACCACCTTGAGATCCTTGGAAATTAAGGGGGTGTAGGAATGTAATAAATATAATACTACTAATCTGGGTGGCTTGGGGGAATGGAAGCCGTTAAACAGGTGTGCATACATGTTCCCAAACTGCTCTCTACAGAGAAATTGTAGGGAGGGATGTTTCAGTGAAACAGGAGACACTTCTGAGCAAGAAAGGTTGTTTGATAGTGGAACTGGCCGTCTTGGGAGATGATGGGATCTCCATCGCTGGGAATATTTAAGCAGAGAGTAGGCCATCTATCAGTGTTGCTGCAATGACATCCTGCTTTGTAGAGCCGGCGTTGAGCAAGGGGGTTGGAATAGATGACCTTGCGGGGTCCCTTCCAATGCTAAAATGCTATGACTTAACAACTTGGAGCTTGCTCTAAGTAAGTAGAGTCTCGCTCCCCCCAGAAGCCAAATTCTGACCCAAATTTACATTGTTATATATGGAATACCTTTATTTCATTTGATGGTGTGTCCAAGCATGGTCTGAAGAAGAAGAGAGAATGAACATTACATCAGCAGAAACTTAAAAAGGATGGGGATCATTTTCAGAAACTTCATATGCTTTAGCTTGTAGGGTTACTTAGAGTAATAACTGCCTAATTAGCCACAGACACAAATTTATGCTCTGTTCTGGGGATTAAAGGCCCCATAAGCACCCATTGACGCTGTGGAGTGTAATGGCTCCTAAAGAGATGGTGTGCTTTGTCAATAGGTAAAGGTAAAGGGACCCCTGACCGTTAGGTCCAGTCACAGACGACTCTGGAGTTGCAGCGCTCATCTCGCTTTACTGGCCAAGGGAGCTTCCAGGTCATGTGGCCAGCATGACTAAGCCACTTCTGGCAAACCAGAGCAGCGCACGGAAACGCTGTTTACCTTCCCACCAGAGTGGTACCTATTTATCTACTTGCACTTTGACGTGCTTTCAAACTGCAAGGTTGGCAGGAGCAGGGACCAAGCAACGGAAGCTCACCCCATTGCAGGGATTCGAACCACCAGCCTTCTGATCGGCAAGCCATAGGCTCTGTGGTTTAGACCACAGTGCGTCCCACTTTGTCTAATCCACAGATTAAGAACTCCCTTAAATATTTGTAACATCACTGCCGGGTTGGGTCTTTGCAGCCTAGAGATCCAGCAGTTTTGTACAATTAGTGGTAGTACAGTGGTACCTCGGGTTACATACGCTTCAGGTTACATACGCTTCAGGTTACAGACTCCACTAACCCAGAAATATTACCTCGGGTTAAGAACTTTGCTTCAGGATGAGAACAGAAATTGCATAGTGATGGCGCGGCAGCAGCAGGAGGCCCCATTAGCTAAAGTGGTGCTTCAGGTTAAGAACAGTTTCAGGTTAAGAACTGACGTCCGGAACGAATTAAGTACTTAACCAGAGTACCACTGTATTCAGATGGTCCATGGTCAATCCTAGAAGGCATTTCTTATGTGGAACGACTCTTAGAAGAGTGTGCAAGTTATGCTCTAGCTTAGTTATTCAATAACTGTTAAGAGATCCTTTGCTTAGTAAACCTAGACTTAGAACATATGGTGGACCACAGGGATTCTAGTACTATACAGCATTTTGAGCAAGAATCAGGGCTATGTGGTCCACAAGAAAGTGAATGGACAGCGGTCCTTTGGTGGCCTTCCCTACTTTCTGCTCAGCAGTGGTTCTTAACAGTGGCAATATTTCATCTGAGCAGGCTGTGAGGAGTAAGATGGACGGAAGCTGGGAAATGTCCTGAACTTGTCACTGATGGTGGCATTAGTTTAATACACAGGCCCTTCTAAACTGAAGAACTTGATCTCCTGGGGGCACATATTGTTCTGTTCTCTGTTGGCATACCTAGGAGCCGGACAGAATGGTGAATGCAACAGGGAAATGTGATTATATTGAACTGTATGAAACGAGCTTGCAATTTACATACGGACGTGATGCAAGGATCCACAAATGCACTTACCAGCACGCCATCTTTTCTTCCTTCCATGACTAGGGAAGTGCAAGGACTGATTCGAGGTGTCTGGTGGAATGGCAGAGCCTCTCCCTAATGTTGCACTGAACCTTAGGGAGATAGTTGGGCAGCCCTGAGACATTTTGCTGCCTTTTGAGTGTCTGAAGCACAGCAGAACCAGACCCAGTATTTTAGTGCAGCGCTGCCCAAACTTGGGACTCCCGACTGTTTTTGGACTACAGTTCCCAGCTCTCCTGCCCATTGGTCCTGCTAGCTAGGGATGATGGGAGTTGTAGTCCAATAACAGCTTTAGTGTCTAAACAGTTTTAATATATATAAAAATGTCCAGTAGCACCTTAGAGACCCAACTAAGTTTGTTCTTGGTATAAGCTTTGGTGTGCATGCACACTTCTTCAGATACACGAAAGCTTATACCAAGAACAAACTTAGTTGGCCTCTAAGGTGCTACTGGACAATTTATATATATATATTTCGACTGCATCAGACTAACACGGCTACCTACCTGAATCTAAACAGTTTTAGTGTCTGTTGCTGGGATAGCTAGCCTTGTGGTTGCACATCCTGTGTTTTTTTACTTTTTTGTGAATCTCCCTTGTACTAGTTACTGGAGGGATGCCTTTGTCCATCTCTCGGTTGCAGAAGGAACACTTGGTTAGGGAAGTAAAAGTGGCTCGGAAGTTCTTTTGATGAGTTCATTCCCTTTAAGCCAGCTTGGCTGTGTAGCGTTCCTGTCCTTTTATTCTTAGTCTGCTTTGTTATCTAGGTGCATTTGCAATACTATATTTACTAAGAGATTCCTAGACGTTGCCTCTGTGGGCTAGGCATTGCTTCAGCTTTTTCTCACGTGACATCTCTATTCACACTTTCCCTTGACTGCCATTTGCTCACCAACGTTTTGCTTGATGTGCTGAGCCCAAAAGTGGATCCAGAACTGTTTTGTGTACATCTAACTATTTTTTTTTTTATTAACTTGGGGTGGGGTCTCTGGAGGCATATATTAGCATTTCAAATTCTATCTACAATTATATTAATAATTAACTGCAACCAGAAATCCCTTTGAATCTGTTCTTGGCGATTTAGTTGGGAATTCTTTACTACAGCTACAGGGGAGTAAATTCAGGGATGCAGTAAAGCCTCAGCCTTTTCCAGACCTAGTGTCTTCCAGACGCTTTGTACTACGAACCCATCAGCCCCAACAATTAGCCATGCTGGCTAGGACTCATGGGAGTTGTAGTCCAAAACACACCAGGATGGGGTGTCTGTACTGTCCGAGATACCTTTATTATCACAGAGTTTTATACTTTTATGGCTAGCTATAGATACAATGGACCCACAGAAATTATATATGTTATTACTCTGTTGGTAACTTCTAGAAAAATTAATTTTTCTCTGTATCTTCAAATTGTTTTCAGTCTCTAATATTGTGAATGCTCATTCTTTAACCTCTTGCAGTGAGTGCAGAAGTAAGCCGGGGGCGCATATTGACATCTTTCCTAGGTTAGGACACTTAATCACAGTTTTGGGACTCTTAACTGGTCTTGATAATTTCAAGGCTGCTGTGGATGCGCATTGTTTGAATACGCCACTGTGGAAGTGTACAACTCCTGTTGTATGCACAAGAACAATTTCCTGTCCAGGATTGGCTTCAAGAGGAAATGTTTCTTTCCATTTTAAAAGTTGGCTATGCAGAGCACTGACTGGCGAGCACTTGTGACGTCACCGCTCCATCTCATCTGCAGAGCAGTTTCACAACTCTTTTTAATGGATGTTATTTTCTGTTTAAGTAAAATGGTGAAGATTTAAATTAATAAACATTTTTTAAAATGTTTAAAGGCACGCAGCCCATCTTAAGATTGTTGTGCATGCATGGGTATGTCTGTCGAATGGGTTGCAAAGGTGAGGAAGTGGGGTTTTTTACCCTTGATGCTGGCAATCTCAGAACTAAGAAGACTCTGCTACAGATTGAATGCAGCACGAATGGGCAAACAGTAGCTTGTCACCTGCCTCATTCATGAACATGATAAGCAAATTACGCTAATTGCATGCAGCTGAAAATGCAAATGAGCTTTGATTCTCTTATCTCATGATATATTACTAATCTGGCCTTTGGTTCTGAACGAATTGCCCAACCATGGCACTGAATAATGAGACCATCTGCACGGTTGGCTCCCCAGGGACAGCTGGAACTACTGCTGGCTGTTCCAGTGCTAAGTCCCATTTTACAGTGAACTGCAACTGGGGAAGCGAGAATTGCAGAGATAAAGGCGCATTGCATGACAATGAGCAGCCAGTGAGTCTTTGATCTGCAGCCCTGGTTGGCCTCACTTGGTCTGCATTCTGATGTGCACCCAAGTAGTTGCAACCCATGATAACTGACTGCTGGTAAGATTCCTTTGGTCTGTTGTGGATGCTTAGAGCTCCCAGGGACAAACCAGCCTGAGAAACAACGCAAAGGCAGGCAATGAAATTGCACGCCACAATTTGATGTTTGTGCTTAATCCGCTTCACACTTTTGTAACGCCCACCAGTTTCCTAACTGCAAAAAAAGAAAAAAGATTTCGTTTTGAAGTGGATTTGTTGCTCTTAAGGCACCCAGAGTATATCTTAATCCTTTTCAGTTGCACGAACCTAAATTTATGGTGTGCGCTTGACTCCTTCCTGCAAAATAGCAACAGTCTTGGAGGCACACCTCATCTAAAATCTTGGAGTGTGCATGATCTTGAGCAGGGGTCAGCAAACTTTTTCAGCAGGGGGCCAGTCCACTGTCCCTCAGACCTTGTGGGGGGCCGGACTATATTTTGAAAAAAATAATAATAAACAAATTCCCTTGCCCCACAAATAACCCAGAGATGCATTTTAAATAAAAGCACTCGTGTAAAAACACGCTGATTCCCGGACCGCTTGCGGGCCTGATTGAGAAGGCGATTGGGCCGGATCCGGCCCCCGGGTCTTAGTTTGTCTACCCACGATCTTGAGAGTCTCCTTGCCACCAGAGATGGCAGTGCAAGTGGCCATTCACACTGGGGGGAAGTTACCGCTTAGTCAAGGATCATAATGCACCCATCCAGTAGCTCCACATCACACTGTGTGTGTGTGTGTGTGTGTGTGTGTGTGTGTGTGTGTGCGTGTGTGCGCATGTACGCCCGCCACCCATGTAGGAAATTTGACGTTCAAGGAGGTCACTGAAACCTGCCTGTGTGGTGAGTTCTTAGCTGTAAGGGACATATAAATGGAGAAGTCTCGCTGTCTGGCACACACAAACACCAGAGCGAGAGAGAGAGGAGCCTGCAATTTATCTAGGCTCAGCAATTAACATAATCTGAAAACTTCTCTTTAACTGACGTCTGTCTGAAAATTGCTGGGTGGACTGGCGGGGCCAAGGAGATGAAAGGGAAAGAATGCCGTCGGAGGGATTTTCTTTCATGAAATAGGGGAGCTACAGAAAGAAAGGTCCTTCTGCGCAGATACACAGATAGAGATGTTCACACACAGACATTCCCTGCCTTTGGTTCTCGCTTTGCTTTTGCCTTTCATGAAAGCATTCTCAAAACCCCAACCCCCCCTTTAACCTGGGAAATACTTCTGTACCTTTTCTATTTTTTTATATCTGTATAAAAAGAAATATACATCCCCTTTGTTATTCTGCACCGACGACTACATTTGAAGTAGTTCTGGAGAGTTTAGGTTAAAGGTAATTTGATATGAGCGTTCTTCGCCTATCCCTCCAGCCCTTTTCAACCCCCTCCCCTTAACTCGGCTTCTCTCCCCCCACGTTTTCGGTGCCAGGTTTCAGTGGGATAGTTTTATTGAAACAAAGAATTGTGAGGCACAGAAAAGGGAACTGTTGGAGGCGGCCGGGGGGTGGGTGGGCAAAGAGCTGAAAGACAAAATCAAGGCCTACCTCAAAAATACGGGCAGCCCATCCCACAGGCCTGAGCAGTTTAAGGGAGAGGGTCTTCCGCCCCCTGGTCCCCAGGGATGGGTTGTAAATTTTATCTTTCTTAATTCCCAAAACGCTGCCTCCCCTCTCTTTCTTTTTTTATAAATAGAAGCTGCCTCAAGCTACCAAGGAAATATTTTCCTAGCCGGCATTTAAAGGAGGAAATTGCACAACACTGTTCCCTCCCTCTAAATGTGGTTGTTGGGGTCTTTTTTTAAAAAAGTATTGCAAACTGAATATACAGCTCTCAGATCAGGGGAGGGCTGGCTTCAAGGAGTTGGAAGTGGGCACAGAAAATGGAGCTGCAGAACGATGTGCTTTTGGCTCCGTCAATAGGTTTCCTCGATGGCGTAGCTGCCAGCTTGAAAAGCACTCCCCCGACATCACAAGCTCAGTGTAGGAAAACTTGGTCTCGCAGGGATCCTTCCCGGGAAATAGTCGAGAGGAAGATGGGATGCTGCTGCGTTCAGAGTCTGACCATTGGTCCATTCTAGCTCAAGACTGTCTACTTGGACTGGGATTGAACTTGGCACCTTCTGCATGCCAAGCGAGAGCTCTACCACTGAGCTACAGCTCTTTCCTGCCTCTCATGGTTTGGTTTGCCTCCATGGTTTGGTTTTCTTGTCAACGCGGGAGCCACAACTGAGGAGAAGCGTCAACTCTGCTGATGGTGACGTCTGAGGCAGGTCTTCCTCATGCCACCCTTATTTATTTTTTAATGTTGTTGGCCTCCAGGATGAAAACGGCAAAGCACCATAGATCCTAAATATTTGATTAGGGCATAAATTCTGTTTTATAGTATTCTCGGCTTGCTTCTATGTTGTGGCTATGGGGCCACAGGCTTCTATGCGCACGGCATTGTAAGCATTGGTGATGGTAGACTTGAGTTTGCACCTAGGGAGGCTGCACAACTGGGTTATCACCCTGAACTGGCAACCCGCTTGACAGCGCGCATGAAGCTGGGACACCCGATTCAATTTAGTGCACACATTTTCTCGGTAGTCCATGCATCTAAGCAACCTGTGGATTTGCCACACCTTTCTCTGAACGGAAGTGGGCAGCCTTTTGGCACAGATACTCTGCAGTGTGCGTAGGATTGATCAGGGAAAATAAGCAAGGTGCAAATGCCACAGTAAACTGTTGTAGAGGGTGATTTTGGAGCAAAATGTTCACATGCTCCTGACTGCTGTTTTAACACCCAGGGATGTTATGGCAGGTTCGTGAGGACTCTGGTGGAAATATTCTTGAGTTGTGAGACCCCCCTGGCCTGCTCTCCCCATTTTCTGTCCCTTTTATTAAAAGGAAACTTTGCATAGGGTTAATAGTTCCCAGGCCTTTGTAAGTCTGTAAATAGCATTATGGAATTTCTGGGTAATCAGAACAGAGCTGATGTGCTCTGCAAGTTGCCTAGCACTTTGAAAGAGGGATTTGGAGTCAAGGCTTCCCTCCAGCACCCTGGTGATAATTGCCTCCTTTACCCAGTTTAGCAATAGAGGCAGAGTTGAGAAAGAGAGGGAAGCAGATTTCCCCACCCCCTTCCCCCCCCTCCACCCCACTGCATTTTTTTGCTAACAAATGCAAGACTTCCGGTCTCCACCCCTGCTACCACAAACCACAGTCTAACTGCAATTCAATCAGATTTATAGCTCATCTGACGTCTGCATCCTTGAGCATTTATGACCAGCGATCTGGCTATAGGCTTAAATAAGGCCCGTAAATTATAGCAGATGATCTTGCCCTACCTCCCCAGTCTGGATGGAGCTATGGTTAACTCTCCTTTTATGTCTCCCTCCCTCCCTCCAAGACGAGAGGAAAATTTATTATATGAAGGAAAGCTAGGGATTGGCTTTTAAGAACAGGATGATGTACGCGGCGGGTTAGTCTGTGCGATCCCTCGCTGTCAGCCCTGCTTACCCACATTTGACATCACGAAAGATGTCTGCGGCTGATTAGCAGGTCTTTGGTATTATGTTATCTGCCATTGATTTGCCGTTGGCTTAAACTGAATGACTGTGTTCACGACCTGAAGGCTGCAGCCAGGCTGCAGGGTGGGGGTGAGGATAAATCAGTTACGGGAGATGCAAGGTGGCACGTTGTGCTTCAGCCAGTTCCTTTACCACAACATGATTTGATTGGCCCGATTCTGGAATAATCTAGACCAGTGTTTCCCCAAACTTAGTGGGTCTCCAGCGGTTTTTGGACTACAACTCCCATCATCCCTAGGTAGCAAGACCAGTGGTCAGGGATGATGGGAATTGTAGTCTGGAGATCCAGGCTTGGGGAAACACTGGTCTAGACCATAGCTGTCAACGTTTCCCTTTTTAAAAGGGAAATTCCCTTATTCCAAATAGGATTCCTCGCAAGAAAAGGGAAAAGTTGACAGCTATGGTCTAAACAGTGGGGAATGGAACCAGGGTAGGAGGAATAGCCAGAGCAGCAGCAGCAGTGATTAGTCCCAGATACTTCGCTTTTTAAAAGTTCTGCAGTGTTTTGGTCATAGGGAGCTTGGTTCAGCTCTCCACGAATCCATTCATTCACACTGACTGTTATTGACACAGAAGTGATGCGATGAAGCATCACATGGCATACAGAGAGCCCTGCTGGATCGTCCAGCATAGAGTTGGCCAAGGGTCATCTAGTCCAACCCCCTGCAATGCAGGAATGTCCCATACAGGGATTGAATCTGCAACCTTGGCATTACCAGCACCATGCTCTAACCAACTGAGCTATCATGCTGTTTCTAAACCATGGGCAGCTCAATGCCTCTGGGAAGCCCACAAGCTGGGCATGGAAGCAACAGTCATGCCCAACACCTGGCGCCCAGAGGCCTCCTTCTCCAAAGGTGGAGATCTTGTTTAGCTCTTATGACTTCGAACATAGTAACAGCTTTTCACTGAAGGGAGGAACGGGAATCCTGAGCTGCAAAAACAGCCAGAAAAGCTTTCCTATAGAAGTATCCTGCTCTTCTGAACATGTGGGTGTTGCCAAAGGAGCCACAGTCACACCATATGGCAGAAGCACAGTGGCCAGTCAACTGGTGGCGACTTTGCATTCTTGCTGCCACATCAAAATGGTTCCCCGAATCATGTCCAATGTTCGCCCATAACATCAGCCAGGGAGGGATTTGCAATGCATTCATTCTAGCCACATAGAACTCTTTCCTTCTTGCTGACTACAGGATCCAATTAAAACCCAGAGACTCTTACTTATGTGTATTTGTGTGTGTGTGTGGGGGGGAAATAGTTCTCTTAGAGCCCACACTCCCCAAATATTTAATGATTTGTAAGCCCAATTCTCTAATGTTTAGCTGCAAACTACTTTGCATTTGGGTTAATTGATTCCATAATAAGACAGTTGCAGAATAAACGAGGAAGATGTTTGGTCTCTGTTGGATTCATGCAAATGAATGTGTGTATTCTGTTTGTAGCTAAAAACATGAATTATCTGGTACACTTAGTGGAAAGGAGGAGGGTTGGTGGGCCTGGGAAGACAAATGAAGGGGCTTTGTAGATCTGTTGTGACTATCTGGGTGGAGCCTGTGGCTGAGCTGGCAGAACGAACACATGTTTTGAATGCAGAGGGTTCCAGGTTCAGACCTTGTTAGCCCAAGACTTGTAGCGCAGGTACCAGTCAGTACAGTGGTACCTCAGGTTAAGTACTTAATTCATTCTGGAGGTCCGTACTTAACCTGAAACTGTTCTTAACCTGAAGCACCACTTTAGCTAATGGGGCCTCCTGCTGCTGCCGTGCCGGCGGAGCATGATTTCTTTTCTCTCCCTGAAGCAAAGTTCTCAACCTGAAGCACTATTTCTGGGTTAGAGGAGTCTGTAACCTGAAGTGTATGTAACCTGAAGCATATGTAACCTGAGGTACCATGTACTGAGCTAGAGTTCATAAGAGAGCTTTATATGTTCATTAAATGTATAGTTGTTCATATTCTGTGTTGTTGTTGTTATTGATGATGATGATGTTTTGTTGTGAGGTTAAACTTTGGTCTCCCATCTTCTCTCCCTCCAGATTCCCACGTTCTGCAAGATCCAGGGGATCCTTCACACTGGTGCGTGGTTGCATACTGGGAAGAAAAAACACGCGTGGGCCGGCTGTATTCTGTCCAAGAACCGTCCCTGGATATCTTCTATGATCTACCTCAGGGGAATGGCTTCTGCCTCGGACAGCTCAACTCGGACAATAAAAGCCAGCTGGTGCAGAAAGTCCGCAGCAAGATTGGCTACGGCATCCAGCTGACCAAGGAGGTCGACGGGGTGTGGGTTTATAACCGCAGCAGTTACCCCATTTTCATCAAGTCGGCCACACTGGACAATCCCGACTCCAGGACGTTGCTAGTGCACAAGGTGTTCCCAGGCTTTTCCATCAAAGCGTTTGACTACGAGAAAGCGTACAGCTTGCAGAGGCCCAATGATCACGAATTCATGCAGCAGCCGTGGACTGGCTTCACCGTTCAGATCAGCTTTGTGAAAGGCTGGGGCCAGTGTTATACGAGACAGTTCATCAGCAGTTGCCCTTGCTGGTTGGAGGTTATTTTCAATAACCGATGATGACTCAAGAGACTTAGGCCGGACTCAACAATGACCTTTTATAACTACTTTGCTGCTAAATATCTCCTTCTGAGTGCTTGCTTTTTCATGCAAACTTTTTTTGTTCGTTTGTTTTCTGTTTTGAGAAATAGCTTATGGAAAGATTTCTCTCTCTGTGTTTCTTTTCCTTTTCTTTTTTTTTCAGTTTTGGTATTTCGATAAGTTTCTTTTCTTCTTTAAAGTGTGAATGACCAATAACTCAGAAGGGGGAAAGGAAGGCACCTGGGGTGGGGTGGAGTGGAGGAGAGTTTCACTTGAACGTACTTCATTCATTAGTGGGTCATTTTGTACCCTTTAAGTTATTATTGCCCGAACGTGGTGGGAGGAATTGGACACAGCTTGGTTTATACATAGCTCCCTCTCAAATTCAAACAGTGGTACAGGTTCCTGCCCCCCTTCCTCACACCCTCTTGGTGAACACACATCAATTTGGAGACCTGTGTTTGCTCCCAGAGTTCTTGCGCACGTGGCTTTTACCCTGCTTGTTTCAGTCGAGGGATCAGATCTACACATGCACAATGAGGGATACAACGAATGGGAAGGCTGGAGAGCTCCAAACGCACATTGGAGTTACCATGCTTTTAGGAAGGAAAGGAGGATATCCTCTTTGGTTTGCCTTGCAAACTCGGTGCTAAACCGTTTGCAGGAGTCTGCCGCTGTGCGATGCCTTCGTGCCGATCTCGAAGCAACATGCATTTCATTTCGCTGCAGCTTCTGCCCTTTGTAGCAGATCAATCCATCTGCTGTTTGTCACAAACACACCAACTCCTTTGCTGGTATGAAGGAAGCCGACCCTCTGCGGCGACGGAAAACCCATTGTGGGTCCCTGGTGCAGAGTGAATGTCCACAGCCCACGTAAAGGCAAGCAGAGTCAGATTAGGGAGCAAACGCAGCCGAGAAAATCTTTTGCCAACAATCTTACAACCTTTTCTTCTCTTTTTCTCCCCCCTTCCTGCCCTCTCCACTGCGGTCATCTGCTGCTTCAACACTTCATGTCTGTGTCATTTGGGGGTGGGGGCGAGAAGCATGGGCTCGGAAGGGCATGCCCATTTTCCCATTGCGCTTAGTGATCATTTGTGATGCCAGGAAAACAATTAAGGTGCATGGCCTGTGCTTTTCAAATTGATCTGCGATGCAGACTTGTTTGAGACCTTTTTCTTTTTTTTTAATAAAAAAAAAAAGACGAAAGGGAATTTCAGTATTTATCCCCTTGTAACCTGCCCTGATCAGGCTTGCAACAGTACTGTTCGCATCCAGAAATTGCAGTCATTCATTTATTTCTTCTTGAATTCATACACTTAGTATGATAATTTTACACTGTTCTTAGCTCAATGAGCATGTTTAGACCTTAACATAAGCTATTTTTCTAAATATAAAAGGTTTAAGTGAACAAGAGAAGCATTCTCATTGGAATTTTAGCATTGAAGTGCTTTGGAAAACAAAAAAACAAAACAACAACAAAAAAGAGACTCCTTTAAAAAAAGAAACCCTGAGATTTATTAAAGAAAAAAATGTATTTTATGTTATATATAAATATATTATTACTTGTAAATATAAAGACGTTTTATAAGCATCATTATTTATGTATTGTGCAATGTGTATAAACAAGAAATAAGAAAAGATGCACTTTGCTTTAATATAAATGCAAATAACAAAATGCCAAATTAAAAAAAAAAAAGATAAGATCACAAGATTGTGGTGTTTTTCTTTCTTCCTCTGGCTGTTATCATCCAGCTGAACGCTTTTCTAAATGAGTAATTTTGGGTTTTTTAAAGTACACTTGATGTGATAACGATGCACAGCTTGGTTTTTTCAAAGTGAGTTGGGTGTCAGGGAAATAGTGGTGCTCAGAATTGCGGGGGTGTCTGCATAGCAGAAACTGGTCACTCGGGCAATAAAGTGTAACCCACGTGGGTGGTGCTGTGGGTTAAACCACAGAGCCTAGGGCTTGCCAATCGGAAGGTCAGCGGTTCGAATCCCCGTGACGGGGTGAGCTTCCGCTGTTCGGTCCCTGCTCCCGCCAACCTAGCAGTTCAAAAGCACGCAATGCAAGTAGATAAATAGGTACCACTCTGGCGGGGAGGTAAATGGCATTTCCATGCGCTGCTCTTGTTCGCCAGAAGCGGCTTAGTCATGCTGTCCACATGACAGCCAATAAAGCGAGATGAGCGCCACAACCCCAGAGTCGGCCACGACTGGACCTAATGATCAGGGGTCCCTTTGTTTACCTAACCTTGACACAGGGAGAAGTCAGAATCGGGACCTTCAAGATAGGTGAACTGGAAGCTTCCTCATGATGCAGGGGTGAGAATAACACAATGTGCCAGATGTTACATAGTAAGATAAGGCTGGCCCATTTCCTGGTTTTTAATAAAATTATTTTAAGCATATAGGGAAGAAAGAAAGAATTCCCAGCTCACATTAACAAGAATAAATCTTATCAATCCCAATTTATATACAAGATTTACCATTTTATGTTCCAGTGTAGAAAAAGGGCAGTTAAGATCTTCAGAAAATTGAAGTACAAGTTTCTCTGCAACCGTAGAGACTCTTGTTGATAATCTAAAAGTACACAAATGCAAAAGATTTTCCCAGCGTGAATAGGCGCAACAATCTGGCTCTTCAAGCAAAAGTGGTTTACAGGTCAGTAAGAAAACAAGACAGTTGGTGCCTTCAGTGTTACAATATAAAAATGCATTAAACAAAAGGACAAGTGTTTAGGAAGGGAGGAGGGATGAACCAACTTGTGCACCCATTCTCAAGGTTACAGCCCTTAAAATGGCCATCTGGGATGGAAAGAGTTTCAGTAGGTGGCAGTTGAGGAACAAGCCAAGGGAGCTGGTCTCTTCCTCACAGCTGATGGAATAAAGAAAAGGTAAAAAGGTAAAGGACCCCTGGACTGTTAAGTCCAGTCAAAGGCAACTCTCGGGTAGTGGTGCTCATCTCACTTTCAGGCCAAAGAGCCAGCATTTGTCCGCAGGCAGCTTTCCAGGTCATGTGGCCAGCATGACCAAACCACAGGCGCAACAGGACACTGTGACGGAAACCAGAGCACACAGAAACGCCGTTTACCTTCCTGCCACAGCGGTACCTATTTATCTACTTGCACTGGCATGCTTTCAAACTTCTAGGTTGGCAGGAGCTGGGACAGAGCAACGGGAGCTCACCCCATCGCGGATTCGAACCGCCGACCTTCCGATCGGCAAGCCCATAGCCATGCCATAAATGGATAATATATGTATCTCATACATGTGTAATGAAACAATACAGTAGCATTAACTAACAGTACTGTAAATGAGGTCTGCTGGATAGCTCAGTCAGTAGGAGATTCTTAATCTCTGGGTCGTGGGTTTGAGCCCAACATTGGGCAAAAAGATACCCTTTTGACTTCTTCCAACTCTACAATTCTATGAAATATAGTAATATGCAGGAGGGAAATGGATATAATTACATCACGCTGGAGGTGAAGTAGAGGGTATGTTTAAAAGCCCAAGGGGTGCAATGATTTCAGAGTCATAATAACCTTGCTGCATTGCATTGCCTCTTAATATTTTTAAGAGGGGGATAGCCTCTAATGCAGGGGTAGGCAACCTAAGGACCAGGGCCGGATGCGGCCCATTGGCCTTCTCATTCCGGCCCGTGGATGGTCTGGGAATCAGCATGTTTTTACATGAATAGAACGTGTGCTTTTATTTAAAATGCATCTCTGGGTTATTTGTGGGGCATAGGAATTCGTTCATTTTTTTTCTTTCAAAATATAGTCTGGCTCCACGTAAGCTATGAGGGATGGTGAATTGGCCCCCTGCTCAAAAAGTTTGCTGACCCCTGCTTTAATGCTACCCATTTTCCCTCATGTTCAAGAAAAACTAAACCTATATCTTGCAGAGGCGATGCACAGATGCACTGTTTTTAAAATTATTTTCCATAGTTTTCAGTGGCATTGACACTTGCACCTAGGTTTTTGCTGCAGACTTTAACAATGCACCACCACCTCTGCATAGTTACTCTGGCGTAGGAATTAGGTGGATGTCAACGAAAACAGTGCAGAGGATGTTAGGCCCCGAGGCAGATCCACCCAGTGAGGTTCTCTGGGAAGGTAGGGGAGGAGGAGGAGGATGTGCTGGAGATCTTGTTTAAGGTTTGAAGGGAGGTATAATTGCATAGAAGTCTATGAGGAAGACAGACTTGAGCCATAACTTTCCGCTCTGACACTGTCAGTCATAAAAGCAGCGCCTGGAAGAGTTCAAGGGTCGTGAAAACTTTCATCTGAGTCTTACAGTTCAGTTTGTTTTTCTGCCTGCTGGCAGGGCTTGAACTATTCAATTATCACGTCACATCTTTCCTATGGCACAATGGCTAGACAAGCCTTTTGTTGCGATAGAATCAAGCAAAACCCTCGCTTCCCTTCCCTGCCCAGAAAATCTGCACAATTATTACAACATCAAAGGGCCCAAAGAAAGAAAGAAAGAAAGAAAGAAAAAGAAAGAAAGAAAGACATGATAGATAACAGGTCGAATGCCAAGTTCTTCCCTTACTTAGGGCTGAACCAGCCCAGCGTTCATCAACACCTGGGATTGGGATGTGCAGACAATATTGTTAGCTTTTGCTTAGCAGCTGCCCAGTGTGAAGGTGAAGTGTAGGAAAAGGTTCTACAGTGGTAGGTACCTCAGGTTAAGAACTTAATTCATTCCAGAGGTCTGTTCTTAACCTGAAACTGTTCTTAGCCTGAAGCACCACTTTAGCTAATGGGGCCTCCCACTGCCACCATACGATTTCTGTTCTCATCCTGAAGCAAAGTTCTTAACCTGAGGTACTATTTCTGGGTGAGCGGAGTTTGTAACCTGAAGTGTCTGTAACCCGAGGTACCACTGTACACTTAGGCAGGAATAATCAGATGAACAAATAAAGGGTTGTGAACACCTGGCTTGACAGTAGCACATCTGAAAAGGATCTAGGGGTCTTAGTAGATCACAAGATGAGCCATGAGTCAACAGTGTGATGCAGTAGCAGCAAAAAAACAAGTTGCTGCTACCACTGGTGGAGGAAGGGGTGTGCAGTCCACCCCACATGTCATTCCTGAGGGGGTGACATCGCACCCCCAACCCCTGGGATGCTCACCACGGGCGCTGCTCCCCCGTGCTTGCTGCCCTGCCTCCATGGGATGATCAGCAGAAATAGAGTGTCCAGATCATGGGAAGCTCTTCTGCCTTGGTCAGACCCCCACCTGGAGTCCTGTGTTCAGTTCTGAGCACTAGAGTTTAAGTCAGGGGTAGGCAACCTAAGGCCCGGGGGCCAGATGCGGCCCAATCGCCTTCTCAATCCGGCCGGTGGACGGTCCGGGAATCAGTGTGTTTTTACATGAGTAGAATGTGTCCTTTTATTTAAAATGCATCTCTGGATTATTTGTGGGGTCTGCCTGGTGTTTTTACATGAGTAAAATGTGTGCTTTTATTTAAAATGCATCTCTGGGTTATTTGTAGGGCATAGGAATTCATTCATTATTTCCCCCCCAAAAAATATAGTCTGGCCCACCACATGGTCTGAGGGACGGTGGACCGGCCCACAGCTGAAAAAGGTTGCTGACGCCTGGTTTAAGTTGACACGCTGGAACGTGTGCAGAGGAGGGCAACCAAGATGATCAAAGGTCTGGAAGCCAAGCCGTATGAGGAACAGTTGAGGGAGTTGGGTATGTTTAGCCTGGAAAAGAAGAGACCGAGAGGAGATAGGATATCTATCTTCAAATATCTCAAGGGCATGAAAGACAGAAGAAGCTTGTTTTCTCCAGCTCTGGAAGCCACAACTCGAACCAACAGATTAAAATTACAAGAATAAAGACTTCAACTAAATAATAGGAATAACTTTCTGATTATTTGAGCTGTTTGACAGTGGGAACAGACTCCCTTGGAAGGTGTGATCTCGCATTCTTGGAGGTTTTTTAAGCAGAGATTGGATGGCCATCTGCCAGGGATTCTTTAGTTGTGATTCCTGCATCGCAGGGGGTTGGACTAGATTACATTCAGGGGTTCCTTTCCAACACTGCAATTCTACAATTGCATGATTCTGTGGTGTCTCTGAATGCACTGGCACCTTCTGGCTTCAAGGAGTGACAGATGTCCTGACCTAAGGTATTGTTGTTTAGTCGTGTCCGACTCTTCATGACCCCATGGACCAGAGCACGCCAGGCACTCCTGTCTTCCACTGCCTCCCGCAGTTTGGTCAAACTCATGCTGGTAGCTTCGAGAACACTGTCCAACCATCTCGTCCTCTGTCATCCTCTTCTCCTTGTGTCCTCCATCTTTCCCAACATCAGGGTCTTTTCCAGTGAGTCTTCTCTTCTCATGAGGTGGCCAAAGTATTGGAGCCTCAGCTTCAGGATCTGTCCTTCCAGTGAGCACTCAGGGCTGGATTTCCTGCAGAATGGATAGGTTGGATCTTCTTGCAGTCCATGGGACTCTCAAGAGTCTCCTCCAGCACCATAATTCAAAAGCATCAATTCTTCGGCGATCAGCCTTCTTTATGGTCCAGCTCTCACTTCCATACATCACTACTGGGAAAACCAAAGCTTTAACTATGCGGACCTTTGTTGGCAAAGTGATGTCTCTGCTTTTTAAGATGCTGTTTAGGTTTATCATCACCTTTCTCCCAAGAAGCAGGCGTCTTTTAATT